AAGAAAAGAAAGAAAAGAAAGAAAAGAAAGAAAAGAAAAAAGAAGAAAACCCTAATATCGTTTGCTCTTACCAGAAGAATATAGGAAACTTTTACTCTTTTAGAGTAAAATCCTTTTATACCTAGCACTTTCTTCTGTGTATGTTTTCTCTCTCATATCATCAATCTCGTTTTTCTGTCATTTCATTATCCGAGTCACCTTCATCTGCTGGAATATGCACATTATTCCTATTATTTCTTCGACCTCTCCGTCGTCCCCTTAACCCCGATCCCTGTTCTGCAGATTCCTGCGTGTCTAATTGTACTCCAGTCGCTCCGAGAGGAAGTAGATCCACACCATTGTTGATATTATCATTATTATTGTTAATACCACTACTCCCAACACCACCACCAGCGGTACTATCGTCATTCTGCAGTCCGAGACTCTCCGATGCGGCATCTGCTGCAAGGGGATCGGCAACTATGACCACCTCTTCAGAGGGAATGGCTCCCATAGCGTACATCTCCCGTCTTCGTTTAAACTGGAGGCAGAAGAGTGTAATAACCACAGTAAGACCAATACCCAGAAAGAAGATAGCAACAAATGTTGCTAGAGAACCAGCACGTGTGGAAGGAGGAACATTATTTTTTTCTTCTTTTTTTTCTTCTTCTTCTTCCGTTTCATTAGCATCTATCGAGGGGAATGCATCGGGTTTTATTCCACTGCAGGAGAGTAACAAAGAGTTAAATACCTCATATCTTCCACCATAAGCATCATAGTCATCTTCACTTTTCTTGATGGATGCATTATTTAAAACGTAAAGTCTTGCACTGAATTTCTCCTTTCCAGTTGTAGAGGATTTTAAAGAGGCATTTTGAAGAATAGAAAGCGTAACATTTAATCCCCCTCCACCTCCTTGACCAAGCCCAATTTGGGCATATTTACAAGTTTTATTAATTACTATCATTTCCTCCAGTTTTGGACGACGTCCCTCAGAAGGGGATGTACTAAACGTTGTTGCCCGAAGTGCTATCCCTCTTGAAACGTATTTATTAAGAAATTCATCTGAAAAGGCTATAAATAAAAACACATCGTGTTCTACAAACGATACATTATCCAGTGTAAGTGGGATTTCATCATTTATAATAAAATTCACACGTGTAGCCCCACGAGGAGTATCAGCTATTAATTTCGTCCGTGTGGTATTCTCTGGTACTTCTCTCGTACATCCCCAACCCACCCAACCGAGATCACAAGCGCAGAAACCTCCATTTACCAATTTACACAGTGCATTCTCAACACAAGGAGTTGTACAATTTGGATTCACCGGTCGTATAAAACTATACCGAAGAAGAAATCCCTCACGCATACGTGACCAGCGTGAGGCAAAAGCAATAGAAAGAATATTTGTTGTTGAAACCACAACAACACCTTTAGCGGCAGTACCAGAATCCGTACGTAGTGGTGTTGCCTCTTCGGAATCTACATCATAGAGTAATAAAACATCTGTTGGGTCTTCTATATTAAATTTAAGATATTCCAGTTTTACTTTACGTGATCTTGGAGCTTCAATAACCCACCGACATGTTAACATTGGTGGATAAGATCCATATCCATTTACTTGTATATATCCACCAGCACTATCATTCACATCAACTGGCATTCCATCCTCACGACACCAATAACTCCGCATAGAGCAATTATCCCCAAAGAAATCTCTACAACAATACTCACAGTTAGGACCTGAATAACATCCTTTACCACCATACTTCTTATCTTGTGGACATGTACATTCACCCGTCTTTGTATCACACTTACCTCTACCACTACAAGTGCAATTGGAAGAACATGAAGGACCATACCATCCTTTTTTACAGGTTAAACAAGAACCATCGGCAAAGTTATCATTATCACATTTACATTTTAAATCTTTAGCGGAACATGTACCATGACCATTACAAAGAAGTTCTTCATCACATAAAGAACAATCCACAAATCGATATCCAGAAGAACATTGACAAAGACCTTGATTACATTTTCCATTTCCAGTACAATTATTTGCACAAATAGTAGAAGAAAGAGTAGAACAATCTTCAAGATATTTTAAATCTGGTCCAGAAGCTGCAATAGCATATAATTGTGGTTTCCCATCATGTACTTCACCACCATATACAATAATACGAAATCCATCCATTAACGCATTTGATAATGGTAGACGAATTTGCTCCACAACATTTGTGTTATCTACACCATTTCCACCTGCATAGTGAATAACTCCTGTAGAATCCACTACCATAAGGTCAAGATTATTCACAACAGAGCGTGTAGAACCTTCTATAGCAGTTCCAACATCTGTCCAAACTAATGTAATACGTAAGGAATCACCTTTATCTTTCGTTTTATTGCTTACGGTAAAACAATAGACTTTACTACCATGGTGGGTAACAGATTCTCTGTCCTTAAACCATCCCTTTACACCAGTAGGAGTAAAGAAGACAGATAAATCAAGTCGACCAAAACCACTCTTTCGTGGATCATTTAAATATACTGTAGAATGAATGGCCAATGCCTTTAGTAAAGAAATAGAAGGAGAGAGAATATTTTCAATAGTTCGAAGATGATGTCGTATTAATACAACAGTTCCTGCAGCCGCCGCCGTAGCCATAGAAGTTCCTCTTTTTGTATCCACCGTACATTGTTTTGTAGAAACATTTCCATCTGAGTCTGCAGAAGTAATCCACTCACCAGGAGCCACAATATCTGGTTTTTGTCTTCCATCATAAGTTGGTCCAAATGCTGAAAATCGTGCAATATTATTCATCTTTCTTATATCAAATGTATTCATATGAGCTCCAATACAAAGCATATTTTTAGATCTACAGGGTGTTAGTAATCCAGATCTAGGAACATTACCAGAGGCGAAAATAAAAAGGGCATCATCTCTCGTATTTAGATAATCATCTATTGATTTCTCCACCGCCGTATACTCAGATGGGGCATAAAATCCCCATGAATTAGAAAAAACGCGTGCCCCTACTTTATAACCTGGACGAAACACATCAATAATATCAACAGGAAGTGTTAACATTTCTTCCTTTGGGCATCCAAGACCCATAAAGAATATCTTTGCTCCCTTGGCAACACCATTATATTTATAATTATTCCCTTTCCCAATCACTTCACCGGCTGCAGTTCCTGCCACGTGTGTGCCATGTCCTCCTACTCGATCCCCAATGAAATAATCACCAGGAATAAGATCACAAGGGGCAAAAGATACCACCTTACGATGATGCATGTTTATATCAGGATAAATAGCAACCTTTTCCTTATCATCATTGAAAAAACAGCTATCATAATCTATCCCACTATCTGCAACCCCAATAATTTCACCCTTACCATCAATACCTACATCCCAAAGAGGACGTAAAGGTCTCGTTTCTTTTTGTTTCCCTGATTGAACAAGAGCAGTGACATGATCATTTACTGGGGTAGCAAACTCAAAAGCAATTTCCATCCAACGTACGGCAGGATGTTGAGTTACGGCATTAATAAAAGAAACACAACGGCATATGATATTATCTGTTTCCTTTGGCTTCTCAGGGGAAAACTTTAATATCCATCGAACCAACCCTTTACCATTAATAGCTGAAACGATGGACCACTGGCATTCTGCTAATGCATCTGTTTCTGCTATTTTAGGTAGTTTATTAAATTGTACTCCACGCAGTGCCTCTTCCACAACTTTCTCTCTTCCAAAAGCTGTACGCACATCAAAAGCAAGTCGTTGTCGTGATAAACCCGAATTCATCCTTATATCTCTCTCACTACTACTAAAACTACTACTACTACTAGAACTAGAACTATCATCATCATTATTTTCACCATCAACACCAACCCCTGAAGTACTTGTAAAACCCTTACAACGACTTATAGCAGTACGAATTACACGAGAAAGTTTCAATCGCGCTCCAGGAGATGTTGAGTAAACATCCAAAACTGTCATGGATGAAAAGGATAATGCCGTACTTTCATCTGCTTCTATTGCAGAATGAACTTGAATAGCATGTGGAGTATCAACATATACAAGCATATGCAAATCGTCTATCATGTGAGCATCCCTTTTACTATTAACAGTTAATGCATGTCGTGCTTTTCGACGTTCTTCTCTACTAAGTTTATCCAATCTCACAATAAGATAACGACCATTACCAGACGATGATGATAATGATGATGATGATGATGATGATGATGATGATGATGATGACCGCCCTGTCGTCTCTGAAAATGCAGCCATATGTGCTGCAGGAAAACGTTTATGTAATCGTCGTCGAGTTTCCTCACTGATACTATCAAGTGATGAGTTATGCACATAATGATGTTGTTGCACAAACCAACGAAATGGAACTTCATGTTTCTGCGACCATTCTGCATTAAGCCATTTTTGGAGAGGACTTCGTTCATTCTTTTTTGAAAGATCTTCTCTTTCTTTTATTTCCTCTACTTCTTTTCCTCCTTCTGTTGAGGTCGCTTGTTCTGCTACTACTGTTGATATTGATTCATCACTCTTTATAGTGCTTTCCTCTGCACTAACGAGTTGCAACAGCAATAATAGCAGAAGGATATGAAGAAGAAAGAACCTTTTAAATATTCTTTTGTTTTTCCACATTTTCTTTTTTTTTTTTCTTTGTTTTGACTTTCTCTCGTCTCTTCTCCTATCAGTCAGGTATGGAGCTATTATTCGTTTTATTTGTATAGAAAAGCGAGAGTATAGGTAGATATATATGTAGATAGATAGATAGATATATATATCTCAAAGAAGGATACTCCCTTTTCCTTTCCTTCTTGTGAAAATAAGTCCAAAAGTACAAAAAATAATAAATAATAATAAAAAGGAAAAAAAAAAAACATCAAATATATTATTATTATTATTATTATTATTATTATTATTATTATGCATATTATTTACATTTGTTATTGTGGAGGAATTTGTGTCGGCCACAAAATCATCCTCATGATGTTTCCCATGAGGATGAACAAAAGAAACGAAAACACATCAAAGGAGGAAAAAAAAATGCAAATATTTGCAAGGAAAAGAAAGAAAAACCACCTGTCAAACGAAATAAAAGAACAAAAAAAAAATCGAGTTTCCTTTTTTTTTTCTTTCTTTTAAGAGGAAGTTTTCTTGCTGATGCCAACTGCGTCGAAACAAAGACATTTAAGTGAAAAAGATATACGAGATGAAAAAAAAAAAAAACGCTTTCAAAATATAAGAAAGAAAAACATTTCTCTAAGGAGCAGACTACTCGCATTTCTCACCTTGTCGGTCTTCTTTCGATATTTCATTTTTTTTTTTTTTGTATTTGTGTGCTTATGTATATGAATTTTATTTGTTTTTATTTGCTTCCGTCTATGCTTCTTGTACAACCTACCAAGGTGTCCATATTTTCTTATTTTATTTAGCATAACATGATATTATTGTCGTTTTTTTTTTTTTTTTTTGCTGTTCATAATTTCTTTTGCGCATACTTTTATTTTCTGACGTTTTGTTCTCTTATTTTTCCTCCTCATTCCACTGGCTAATGTAAACAACAACAACACCAACAACACCAACAATAACAAGAAAAAACACACATAGCTGGTGGTAGAGGAGGAGGAAGTGGAGAAGAAGAAGGAGGATAAGAAAAAGAAAAAAAAAAGTCGATGTACACATAGTTACTGTTTCGTTTTCATTTCCCGGCAGCTTTACTATCCGCTGCTGTATCCCGCTCATTATCCTGTATTAAGTCATGCACGAGTTTTCGCAGTTCCTGTTCACTTGATCCTTCCACTCGTCCAACAATACGACCACCGCGATATGCTATGAGTGTTGGAATACTGCGAATATCGTGAAGAGCCCCCAATTTGGGGTGTACATCCGTATCAACAGGAAGAATGCGCACAGTTTCACCATTTACACGCGTTGGAAAGCAGAGTTCACCGGCATTATTCAAGACGACTTCAGCATCAAGCTTTGACTCGGCGTCAGCACCGGCATCACTGGGCTGTGAGTCAGCTTTTAGTGAAGGTCGCGAGCAACAACAAGAAGAAGAAGAAATAGAGCAGGAGGAGGGGGAGGGGGAGGAGGGAGAGGAGGAGGGGAGAGAAGAAGAAAGGGGAGATGAAGAGGAAGAAGAAATAGTAGTAGTAGTAGTAGTAGTAGTAGTAGTAGTAGTAGTAGTAGTAGTAGTAGTAGTACAAGAAGACGGAGACGCTGCAGAACAGGAGGAGACATCAGCTGCAGAAGACGTTTCTGCATTCTCGCTGTTTGGCTTTGACGCTCCATTAGCTGCCAGTCGTTGCAACTTCGCGGTTAGTCGATTGCAAGGTTCACACCACTTTGTATAGAAATACACTATGGCTGTTTTTTCCCTGTTAACTTCTTCTATGAACTCCTGCGGGGTGCCCTTAAAGGAGACAATATGTCGCCGCACAGTGAGCATCACAGAAGGAGTAACTCCTGATTCTCCTATCGCTGCCGCTGATGTTGTTCTTGTTGCTATTACTGAAGAAACCCCTCCAGCAAATCTGAAGGAAGCATCACAAAGCCTCTGTCCCATACCCCATCGAATGTACCTAAACACACACCGCATTTATCTTTTTCCCACTCTTTCAATAATTAAACAAAAAAAAAAAAAATAGAAAAATAAATTCCCCCTTCCCAGGACAAGCGCACCTCCTACATCAAATAAGAAAGAAATAAAAGAAAAAAAAAAAAAGACGGAATGATTGTTCAAAAAGGAGGATGGAAAAAACGAAAGAATAAAAAAAAGATCATATTCGGAAACCCAGAATATAAACATATATATTTATACTAAGCGACAAAATACAATAATCTCAGTGGAGAAATATATATACAATACCAAGTTGAGTGTCTACAAAGATAGGCCATAATACCTGTAATTGTATATCCACCAACACATTCCCTTTTTTTTTTTTTTTTTAATTCGCACCTTCCTCTCACTCTCCCTTTTTTTTTCCTTATTGCCTTATACACTTCTTATTTTTTTTTCTTTTTGGAGTCATGATGCTGAGGAGTCATAGGGGGCTCCTAAAAACGTCTGGACTACAGATTTCCACTCTTCCTTCTCCGCTTCTGTGAGTCCACTATCTGTGTATAACATCTGGTTCCACACATCCGCCACATTATCTCTCAGCTCATCTGCCTCTCTCGTCACTTCACCTTCTTCAAGGACTACGTTTTCCAATTGATCGTCAAGGTTCCCTAAATGTACCGTTAGAACGAGCAACATCAGCATAGCCCGCCGACGGCACACATCATCATCATCATCATCATCATCATCATCATCATCATTGTCATTATTACCATTTTTCTTCTTCTCCGAGAGTTTCTTGTTGAAGTTATCCTGACTGTGGCTACTGCTACTGGATCTTTTCTGACTTGCGGGTTCTGCCCTGTTGTTTTCCACGAGCTGCGAGACCCGCTCCAGACAATCCTCAATGCAGAGATCCAGCGGGGAAAAGTCGCCGCAGTCGTCGGTGTCAATGTACGGGATGCCCTCGCTGATCTCATCGTAGCCCGACGGCGGCTGCAGACTCCGGCGGAACTCCGCGACGGCGGCGGTGAGGGCGGCGGTGATGCCCGCCACGTTTGCGTCCGCCTCGACTTCCGCCATGAGCCGCCGCCACCGCAGCGCCGCGGTGAGTCGCGTCCGTTCGGCCTCCGCGGCGGTGAGTTCGGCCTGCAGGCGCTGAAGGTCCGCGCGGAGCCGCTCGACCGCCGCCGTCTGTTGGTGCAGCCGCGCCTCCGCTTGGCCAATGGCCTCCGCCGTGAGGTCCGCGACCGTCAGTCCCCCCATGGAGTCCGCGTGAAGGGGCGGGGAGGGGGGAGAGCGCAGTGGGGGGCTCCTTTCCGACGTGGTTGCTCGGTTCTTTTCCTTCTTTCCTGCATATGAATATATATATATATATATATAGAGAGAGAGAGAGAGAGAGAAAGAAATAGGAGAAAGGGAAGAGGGGGTTATCAAGATATGTCCCTCTCATAATAAAAGGGAAAAGGGATGCAGATTTGTTATGGGGAATGAGAATCAATAAATATAATTGCAAAAAACAAAAAAAAAACAAGAGCATCGAACGCACTGGACATTTTAAAACCCGCAACACCTGTTCTCTACTCTCTTCTCATTCATTCGTTCTCTATCTCTCTCTCCATACACTGAGGTGCATCCATATATGCCCATAGAGAGAGAGAGAGAAAGAGAAGGAGAAAGAGAAAAAAGAAGAGAAAAAAGAAAAGAAACAGGAAAACACAGTAGTGCAAAACCATTTCCTATTCAAGAAATACCACACAAGACACAAAATAAAATAAATAAATAAAACAAAGCAATTTACAAATAAGTAAATAAATAAACCAAATTCATATATAAAAATATACATGAATTTATTTATTTACTCTTATTATTATTATTATTATTATTATTATTATTATTATTCCTTATCCTTTCTCCGGATTCGTTTCACCAAGGGAGTTAGATTAAGACATGTCCTTCTTACCCAACTAGCTGTTCTTCTTTTTTTTTTTTTTTGAAAAGGAGGAATAAAGAAAAACAGGAAGAGTCTTGTAAAACGCTCAGCTCTTATTTACTACTCTCTTTGTCGTATTAGAAATCCATTGTACTCCCCTCTTTGATACTCTCTTCCTCACAACATCCATATGTGAACCATTTTGCGTAATGGCTGTTCTCTGTTCAGTTACCCGGTGTATCTCTATACTTCCTGCCACGCCATAATAAAGAAATCTCAGAGACAACGACTAAAAAAGTGAAAGCAAGCAGGAAAACGAACACACACACACATTATTGAATAATACTCGTAATATTGGGACGTCAGCAACCAAAAGAATTCTTTCGTTCATGTTAAAACGCAAAATTAAAAAAAAAAAAAAAAACGTATGAACAGAATCCAAAATCCAGAAATATAATTTTCTCTGCAGCACTTATCTACATTCTCTTTTTCAAGCAAACTCCACGACACCACCACCACCAGCACCACTACTACTACTACTACTGTACAAGTGGCACTATTGGAATCAATCAAGAAAAATAAATAAATGATATAAGGAGCAAAGTGAATATAATGCAAAAAGAAAAAAAAAAAAAGAGGGGGAAAGTGTAATCTAATCCATTAAAGAGGTGTTTTTTGCTGTTTTACCTCCAAACTGGTGTAATAGCGAATTCTTGCTTTAAGATAATCTTTTAAATGTTCTGCTGAACTATTTTTCAGATCAATCCCTTTTGGAATAGGAACTTTATTCCCCTTCTCATCCATAGAAATAAGCACAAAGGAAGCCCGATTAGATGTGACAAAAGAACCATCTCGCTCTACCACTATATCAACATCCACCTCCATAGTTGTATGACGTACGTAAACAACTCTAGCTTCTAAAGATGTGGAATCTGAATAAAAAATAGGACGGTCAAACAACATATTATGCATACCAATAGTATAAACATGAGGATTTCCAGTAAAGACACGTCCACAATGACAAGCATGTTCTTCCATCCATCGGAGAATAGCACCACCAAATATAGCGTTATTAAAATTCACATCAGCTGGACTATATGCTCTATTTCCATACGTCGTAGTTTCTGAAATAGGTACTTTTATAGGTTTATCCCGATTTACATCATCCTCAATTATCTCCTGTCGTCCATCCACTATTTTTTCTCTTGTAGCCTCCTTTGTTTTCTTTTGTATATCACGAATAGCTGTATAAAGTTGATATCGTTCCTTATCTATTTTAGATGTTAGTCGAAGTGCGGGAACCACATCCTTCACCACAGTATCTAGTTTCATTGGAGAGACACACACCATAGTTAAATAACACTCTCCCACATAACTCGGTGTACGGGCATCATATCCCTGTCGCTCCACATTAAGGTGTATCCCAAGAGAACTTTTACCAGCGTAGATAACACTACCCTGCACAACCACAAGATCTCCCATATAAACAGGACGACGAAACATAAAGGCATTAAATGATACAGTTGCTATCGTCACACCTACGGATTTCTTAATGATATCACGATCTTGGTTATTGTAGCCAACAAGAAAAGAGATAGCTGTACGTCCACCACAAGTATCAAGAAAAGATAAGATACCTCCTGCAGAAGCTCTTCTTAAAACAATATCATCAAATGATCCAGCAAAGTCACTTGTGGTAACTTTAAATACCTCACAATCACGTATACATTTTTGATTGTGTCCAACTATAAGAGCATCATCAGTACTTTTCGTAAAATTTCTTGATAAAAACTGTACAATTTTAGAAGAGTTTGATAACGTTAAACGTCGCATATTTTCTTTTTCTCCCAGGAGGTATTTTGCCTTTACTATTATTTTTTTTTTTTCTTTCTTCCGTTCGACCTATTTGCCTAGATTGTTATTTTTTTTTTTATTGACTAGCCTCTTTTTTTTTCGTTTTCTTTTCTTTTTTTTTTGTGGATTTGTTTGCTTCCCCTTAAGGTAATATAATAAAAAAGAACCGAGTAAAGGAGTGGAAAGAATAAAATTCCCTCCACTCAAATAAATCTGGCGAACAAAAACATATCCATCTAGAAACTATATATATATATATATATATATATATATATATAGACGTATATATTTATATGTATATGCCTCTGTAAAGACCATGGTAGCAAAAGATCTAATAAACCCAATAAACATATGCTTTACCAACCCTATGTATATGGAAACATACGATCTACACAGAGAATAATAAATAATAAATAGTAGTAATAATAATAAGAAAAAAACAGACCGAACACCAAAACAACACGTTTTTTTTTTTTTCTTTTTCCTTTCTCTGTTGTTGTTGTCGTCCACTTTGACTTCATAAAGAAAATCATTGTGTATAATTAAGTTAAAACATATGCAAAATCATTTGAACTTTAAGCGATCTTCATATCGTGCTTTCGCCTCAGCAAAACGCAATAATTCATCCTGTGAGGCACTTTTCAAGTCTAATCCTTTAGGAATAATAACTTTTTGTCCTATTTCATCTGTATTAATCAATAGAAAAGATGCACGATTGGTTAATACAACTTGACCATTACGTTCTACACTTAACTTTACATCCACTTCCATAGTAGTATTTCGAACATAAATGACATCCGCCTGCAGGACTACCCAGTCCGTTCCAAACACTGGTTGATGAAACGCCACACTGTGCATAACCACAGTATATACATGACGATTACCTGTAAACATACGAGCGCAGTGGACAGCATGTTTTTCCATCCAACGCATTAATTCACCACCAAATATAGTTCGATTATTATTTAAATGGTAAAGAAGGAAAATACGATGGGCAGAAGTACAGCTAGAAGAAATAGGTACATGAGATAGTTTCTTCTTATTAATACTACATTCCACATCCTCAACGGTAACCGACTTTTCAGCCCTAATACGGGCTTCTTCTTCCCTTTTCTTAACTACATCTCGTATATTTGCGTAACGTTTATAGAGCTCAATATCTTCTTCACTTGTTAGTTCTACTGCGGGAACTACTTTAAGGGCATGTAAATCTTTATCAATGGCAACCATTGTGAAAAAACTCTCTCCTGCGGGTGAGTCCTGAAGTGTGGCTGGCGAACGACGAAAGAAACGAATGTGAATTCCCAACGAACTGGTACCACAGAAGACCAGTCGTCCATGCATTCGCACAGAATCCCCATGAAGAACGGGAGAAGAAAACATTGTATTTGTAACTCCCACCGTACTTGTGCTAATCTTCAGATTGGCTCTTGTTAAAAACACATCTGCCACCCGCTTTGCACACAAATCCATCATCGCCAACAACTCACCGGCGGCCAGTCGGCTCACAATGGCGGTGTCGTGCCCGACAATATCCGTCCAGTCGAGATGGACCGCCGGCTGCACGCCTTTACGGCCGTCCCCGACCACAAAACGTCGATAACTCACAGCACCGGCGCCGGCAATAATGGAGGAGAGACGTGTGCGGAGGGAGAAGTGACGCAGCATTGGATCTCAAACCTCTCCAGATATTTATTTCTTTTCTTTTCCTTTTTCTTTTCTTTTTCTTTTTTTTTTTTCTTCTTTCGTTTGGTTTTTATTTATATTCCGTTTTGTTTTTGTTTTTGCTAATTACTCGTCTTGATAACAAGACAACTTTGAAATGTGGGAGTCGTAAAGAAGTAATGAAGTGTGGGAAACAAAGAAAGAAAAAAAAAAAGAGTAGAATAGAAGAAATAAGAATAGAATAGAATAGAATAGTAATTAAAAGAATGAGTTCAAATAAAAGAATATAATAAAAAAGGAAAAGAAAAGAAAAGAAAAACAAGCCAATAAATTTTAGCAGATGTAAAATATGGTTTATGGAGTCTCAAAGGCCAGTCCAAAAAAAACGCAGTATAGGAATAGAAGGAAAAAAGAATATATACAAAAGGCGTAGACAAGGATACAATGCAACACTACTAAACAATCTTTTGGACATCTCCACATCACTTATAAATTTCGTTTTTTTTTTTTTACTTTTTTTTTTTTCTACACTTTCCTTCTCCAAAGAAAATAAAAACAATAATAATAATAATAAAACAATAACAATAACAAAAGAGTCACAACACAGGAAAGAAAGAGTAATAGGTATAATGAAACCAGGTATAGCGCATTTACTAATATACTTTTTTTTTTTTTTTCGTGACTGTCTTCGTTCTTCTCGTCTCTCTTACTACATACATGCATATATATATATATATATATATATATATATACAATGAAGCACCCAGAAAAAAAAAAAAAAAAAAAAAAAAAACAATAAAAGAAAGAAGAAGAAGAAGAAGAAGAAAGAAAACGTATAGTTCCACCTCTTATAACAAAAGCTTGTGTAACTTTTCCACAATTTCTCGTCGTTCCTTCTGGAGAGAAATCAATACATCAGACCTACCCTCGTCGGTCAACGATGGATCAGTTTCTTGGTCTGCCTTTGGTGCAGAACACAGGAGAAAATTCAGTTGCCAAATGCGTTCATTAAGTTGTCTTATCTCTTCTGTTAGTCGGTGAATCTCATCTTCTTTACTGTTACGAAGCGCTAATGCTTTTTGCATTAACTCATCTTTTTCTGGTGAAATTCCACTCTGGGATAAGGCAGCAGCCGCTTCCTTTTCATCATGAGAAGAGGATGGACCTAGAAATTTGCATATTTCCTTTTGAAAACGTGCAGAGGCATCTTCATATGCACTCATACTTCTTCTTCTTCTTCCGCCTTCATCCATAGTGGAATCTTCATTATTTGCCTCTGGTGACTCTTTACAACGTAGTGAACATCGTGAAGACAAGTACTTTACAACCCACGCAGCTCCTTGTGAATCGGATGCTGTTGTAGTGGCTGCAACTGGGTTTGAAACTGTCTGTGTGATGGGTAAATCTCGCATTTGAAGAGTATTTGAATTTGTTAAGACAACACTTGGTCTAGATGCTACTTTCGGTTCCTTCTGAATCATTGATTGACGTTTCTCCAAACGTTGATTGGATAATGTGTTTCCTTCTGTAGAAGATCGGTGTGGAAGTGATCGTCTAATAGTAACAGCAGGAGGATGTGAAGTATGACTTTGCATTCGTTGTTGTCGTTGTTGTTGTTCCTCTTTTAACATATCATCTGAAAAGGTGTTGGGAAACTCATTTTCTGGTGTAAACACATTATTACTATTGCTTGCTCCCGATACCCCACTAAGTACACCTTCCACATAAGAACGTTTAGATCGATCACCAGTTGAGGTTGTGTAGATTCCATCTCCATGAAGTACATTTCGTTTCCATGTACACTCCAATATATTCCCCTCATGAAATTTATATACTCCTTTACCATGACGTAATGGCATAGGACCTCCACTATCAATAAACTCTCCTTCGTAAATATCACCATTTCCATATTTTAAAGTACCACGACCCACCACTGCTCCATTTTTAAATTCTCCAATAAATGTTCCACATCTGGGAAGAGTTACTTCTACTTTACCATTCGGTTTGCCTTGGAGAAACTCTCCTGTCATGACAGTACCATCTTCCAACTGCATCTTTCCATATCCTGTTATCTCATTCATTACAAAATCTCCCTCGTATATAAGACCATCACCTTCTGAATGAAGTGTTCCTTTTCCATTACGTTTGCCATCTTTAAAATTTCCAGTATAATGATAATTACCTGGTACATTTTCAATTCCATAACCCTCCTTTACCCCAGTTACCCACTCACCTATATAGGATGAGCCATCATGCAATTTGATCGATCCTTTACCACTTAAATGACCTTCTTTCCATCCTCCTTCATACGTATCTTCTTTACCATCTCCGAGATCCCAAGATATTTTACCTTGGCCATCAGGAAAACCAAGAGAAAATGATCCTTCATATACTATCTTAGATGTCGTAAAGACACCTTCTCCATGAGGTAAACCAGCTTTTAAAGTACCTTTGTAATGAACATCACCATCTTCCCATTTCCATTCACCTTCTCCATTTGGTAATCCACCTACCCAGTTTCCTACATAATAACCAGAAACATCAAGTGATGGTAAAAATCCACGAACTTCTTCAGATAAAGGAGGAGGTGCAGATCGTGGATCTGGTGTTATAATTTTAAATGTACCAGTACCATATCCTTTAGGTACACCAGCTACAACATCTCCTTCGTATCGAAGCATAATTTCTCCAATACCAGGAATAGTCATTCTTTTATTATCCAATATACCTTTTCCATTAGGTTTACCACCAGACATTTCTCCATAATATGAACTTCCATCACGGTATTTAGCCACTGCTCCTGCTCCACTCATTTCACCACAAACAAAAGGTCCTTCATAATAAACTAAACCTCCTGTAAGTGAAAAATCAGGAAATGCTTTAAATACGCCATGACTATTAAGAGCATCTTCAGACCATTCTCCAGTGTACTCTCCAGTTTTAGTACGAAGAGTTCCTTTACCACAACGACGATCACATTGAAATGAACCCTTGTATACATCATCATTAGCAGTATGTTGTTCGCCTTCTCCTTGACGCCAATATGCTTCACAAGAACCACGATAACTACTACCATCAGAGTATTTAAATTCACCTATACCATGGGGTAAATCATTTTCAAACTCACCCTTATAGGAAATAACGTGGGCCTCACCCATTCGTGGATTATACCCAGGTGTACTTGAGTTTTTATCCAGCTGCAACTCCCCGTGACCATTACGTTTATCATGTAACCAGGACCCTTTATAAACATCACCATTGGCGTAACGACAAACGCCATCTACTCCACTTCTTTCACCCTGTACAAAAGGACCCGTATATTCTGCATAATCATCCACACCTGGGGCTCCTATGAGATGACCTTTCCCATGCATCTTATCTCGAAGCCATTCTCCTTCATATCGTCTACCATTAGAAAAGGTGCAGGTACCATTTCCACTTCGCTCCCCATCCAAGAAGTCCCCTTCATAGACGTAACCCTCATCACCTGGAATAGTATATTTTCCTTTTCCATGAGGTTTATCATTTAACCACGCTCCTACATATGTAGAGTTATTTGCAGCACAGAAAAATTCCCCATACCCGTCTCGAACATTATCTCCTGTTGCCTCACCATTATATCGATCTCCGTTTTGAAAATTTTTCGTCCAGGTATAGTGCCGATTCTGCATCAGAGTTAAAGCCCAGTTTTAAACCTTCGCTGTAGAGTTTCCAAATAGCAGCACACAAACCTATATGTTGAAAGAAAAACCAATGTGTATGTGTATGTATTCGTGAGAGAAAAAGAAGGAGAAAAAATAAAAAAATAAAAAACGAAATACATATTTTATCAGGAAGAAAAAAAAGAGTCTTGCATACTTTCTCCTCCAACTATGGTAAAGAAAAATCCAACTATAAAGTCTCTACGCCTATCCCACTCACACACACACAGAGAGACATCACTCCACCACTACACAGAAACACATATACACAAGGAGGCCAATAAAATTAAAAAATAATAATAATAACCCAATAATAACAAAAAAAAAAAAAAAAATAGTGTACACACCCAGTCTATATCGAAAGAAAGAAAAAAAAAAAAAAAAACAGAAAAAAATATAAAAGAAAGAAAAAAAAAAATAATCACAATTCCTCTGTAATGATTACTTCCCAAGCACGTTGCACCAAAAAAGCCGGAACAGAAAGTTGAAGTGCAAAATGTAAAGCATGAGAAGTTATCCTATTTTTCTGTGAAAAATCATTTCGATCAGTACCCTGTACAGGTTCAACACGATAGGAATGCACAAGTTGTTGTTCACCAATGTTAAATTCATCATATTCGTTTGTTTCATGTTTTTTCTTGTGAGAAATTCCTGAAAGAGTTGTCAGCATTTCTAGTAACAAAATTTCATCTCTTGGTACAAGATCTGGATGAATAATCTCTGAATAATGAGTAGCCAATAGTACTATAGGTCGCTGATCTCCCATTCCAATGAAGGATCGAATGGAAGCAGCTAACAATGCAGCACCATCCATTGAAAGTGTTCCTTTTCCAAATTCATCTAAAACGAATAAAGAACGTCTAGAACCAATCTCATTTTCCTTATTACGACTACTACATCGTTGAAGCATTCGACTCATAGACACTAATTCACTACCAAAACTAGAGTGAAGTTCCTTTGCAGTAAAGGATAAATCTTTTCCACGAGAACTACCAGTAGAAGCTGTTTGGAGTGACATCACAGTATCGGTAAGACCAATAGTAGCATGAACACAAGGTACAAAAGAACCAATATGAGCCAAAAACACTGTTTGTGCTACAGCTGTAATGAAAACAGATTTTCCACTTCCATTAGCTCCTGTTACCACACAAATACGTTGGGTACTATTTCGGATTGTAAGTGAATAGGGTACTACCTGATGTACAGATGCACGTGCAAATATAGGGTGAACCCCTCGATCAATAACAAGAACCCCACCCTCTTGTACAATCTCTGGACGATTCCATTGTCCTTCTAATGCACACATTGCAAATCCCATTAAACAATCAAGTTCAGCACAATGATATAAAGGAATTAATGCGGGAGAAAGTTCTAGTAAACGTCGATCTAAAAATCTTTGAATTTCACCTTCACGATCTAGAACAGCTGAACGAACATCCCCAAGTTCTTCATCCTTTAAACGTGTTAAGGGTGTTTTAAAAAAATATCCCTCATCACTTTGAAGTAATAATTCCCAATTAGGAGGAATAATATTTTCTCCAGTATGATATGTAAAATGAGGGACTGTAATAACGTAACCCCATTGTGGAATAAATACGCAGACCACAGTACAAGGTCCAAATTCTGGTGGTAAAGATCGACTCTCTTCTTGTGCAACTGTAGTTAACACTTCATCAAGTCTAGCAGAGTGTATTCGAAGTTCATCAAGTACTGAATCAAATCCAGGAAGAATATGAACACAAGTCTTACTTAGCGCTTCACTAGGATCACGAGAAAATGAAATCCCTTCATTTATAAGACGACTCATTTCTTCCAATTGAGATATTTGGCAACTCGCAACTATACGAAGGAATGTAGGAAGTATATGTGCTTGTGGTGAAAGAAGTGAAGCAACACGTAAATAACCCTTTATAGAACGTAAAAGTGATTCATAGTCATTCAATGTGTGTTTTGCAGCTCGCATTTTAGTAAAAATACTACTGGGATATCTTATTCTCTGCAATGAACGGCGTAATTGTTTCATTAATTCAAAATTTTCTGGTTTTGTAAAAAATGATACCACATCATATCGCCGTTGTAACTCTTCCTCATCTCGAAGTGGAAGAGCAAACCATTGACGAAGAAGTGACTTGCCCAACTGACTACACGTACGATCCACTACACTCAAAAGTGAAAGTCCCTCCTTTGAACGACCAATACCTTGAAAATCCATTGGATGAGGTTCTGTTCTAAGCAACTGCAATCCCAAAAGTGTATCATGATCAACATAAAATAATCCAAGAGGGGGAACTTCAACAACATCCGCGACAGGGGATTCATTGTGTTGTAAATAAGACAATAGTGCACATAAGGCCATTAACATCACGTGATTTTGAGGACATATACGCGAATGCCACTCTAATCTCGTCACATCAGCCCAAAAAGCTGAAAGGATTTCCCAAATACGACATTCATCAAACTCACGGGGCGCTGTTAGACGAACACTCGCACTGCAGAGTTCAGCCACATCCAGCAAAACCTGTGAACCTGCCGAAGGAACAAGTAACACTTGAGGTCGCATAACTGTCAAAAATTGCGACACCCACATCAAATCAGAAGGAATATCCATAAAACTCCGAATAGGTACTTCATCCGTACGACTACGAGAAATCGAAGTTTCACAACAGTTCACCTGACATGTTCCGCTGTTGTAAAATGCCAGACCCACAGAATGACGGAAAATAAGAACACTGGCAACTTCTACGACACCCAAATCTTCAATAAAATCGTCCATATTAGACTAATTTCGCCTAAATAATAAGAAAACAAAAAAAAAAAAAAAAAAAAAAAAGAGAACAATACACATACACAAAACAATTCAAAACATAACAACAATAACAAGAAAAACAAAAAAAAAAACAATACCGCCACAAGAAACATAAACAAAAAAAAAATTCAATTCCATAATTCCGAACAAGAAAAAACAGACAAAAAATTCTTAATCCTAACTAAATACATAAAAAGTAACAAAAAAAAGCTAACAAAAAAGAGAAATATCTCCATCACAATAATTAGCAACAACAAAGGAAACGTTATTTACATCTCAATGGCAGAGCACTTACTCGAGGCGAGCAGGAGCCGTGTTGTGACCAATGCGGGGTTGTTCGCCGGTACCACCGCCAGCAGTGCGCAGCAGCCGTGCCCGCTTGATCTCCTCGCGCTCCGCGGCGATCTTCACCTCTTCCTGCTTTGACAGGTGAGAGCGGTACTCGACCATCTTGCTGCGTCGTGTCAGCACCTCCTCGTTGTTCTCGTCCACAGGGTGGTTGAATTCGATGCCTGCTGCGTCCAGCGCCTCTTCCGACTCCTTGAAGTCCTCCAGTGCCTTTGCCTGTTTCTCCTTCAACATTGCCAGTTCCTCCTCGACGCCCTGTCGCAGCTTGTACAGTTCCTTCTTCATGTCGGCGTGCTTCTTCGCATTTGGATCAAACGTCTCCACGCAGAACTCCAGCTGAATGTGCGTCGTGCGGATGTTTCGGTCAATTTCNCTCGAGGCATGCTGTCTTCAGCTTCAGGTTGTGGATCTTCTGCTTGCGGGCTGCTTCCAGCCCGGTAGCTTCTTCCGCAGACATGGTAATGTGATGCTTATGTATCGATTGGTTTGTCTGTCTGTGTTTATGTTTGTCTGTAAGAGAAGAGGTGAGATTGTTTTTTTGGTGTTGTGCTAAAAGCCCTATTACTGCACACAGTGAATCAGAAAAAAAAGGAAAAAAGAGGTCATGGAATGCGGGAGTACAACCAAAAATAAAAATAAAATGTAAAAGAAACACCGTAGCATTCTGAGTGTGCTCAACGAGCAACAAACCCTTATTCACACACATATGTCACACTTGAGTACATACACGCCGCAATGGCAAATCATTACATACAGCGCAACAACTGCGCCCAATAACAAACACGATGGCTGTAATGCCAGTGTGTAGCAGGCGATTTACATATCAATGGCAGAGCACTTACTCGAGGCGAGCAGGAGCCGTGTTGTGACCAATGCGGGGTTGTTCGCCGGTACCACCGCCAGCAGTGCGCAGCAGCCGTGCCCGCTTGATCTCCTCGCGCTCCGCGGCGATCTTCACCTCTTCCTGCTTTGACAGGTGAGAGCGGTACTCGACCATCTTGCTGCGTCGTGTCAGCACCTCCTCGTTGTTCTCGTCCACAGGGTGGTTGAATTCGATGCCTGCTGCGTCCAGCGCCTCTTCCGACTCCTTGAAGTCCTCCAGTGCCTTTGCCTGTTTCTCCTTCAACATTGCCAGTTCCTCCTCGACGCCCTGTCGCAGCTTGTACAGTTCCTTCTTCATGTCGGCGTGCTTCTTCGCATTTGGATCAAACGTCTCCACGCAGAACTCCAGCTGAATGTGCGTCGTGCGGATGTTTCGGTCAATTTCCTCCAGTCGTTTTTCCTTCTTGTAGATGAGTGAGCCCAATGTGAGGTACAGCATACGGAAGTACTCCAGATGCTCCTTGTGAACCTCCAGTCGTAGCGCTGCAAGGTCCTGGCTGGTCTTGTCATGGCGAGCCTTCACCGCAGCGCAGCCCTCTGAGACCATCTCCTCCACCAGCCCTGTGCATCGGATCGCAAGGTCGCAGTTGTAAACAGTCAGCTCCAACAGCTTCTTGTGCTGCGAGGCAATCTCGAGAAATTGCGTGTACTCCACGCGGCGCTTTTCCTCACGGTCAATTTCCTCAATACGGCGCTTCACCTCCTCAAAGCGCTCCGTGCCAAGCTTCTGCAGCTGTCGCTCCAGGTCCTGGATCTTGTTCCATGCCTCCTCCTGCTTCTCCTCATTCTCGCGAATAAAGCGATCGCTCTTCTCTTTGTTCGATGCGTGGCGCTTTGTTGCCTCGGCATCCTCCAGGTCAGCCTTTTGGATGGCATCGTGGATGTGCTTCAGGTCTGTCTCGCACCGCTGCTTCAGGCGACGCTTTGCGTCCTTCATCTGGCTGGTCTCCTGGTTGGCCTGCTTCTGTACCTCGTAGATCTTCTTGAACGCCTGGTTCTCCTCCTCGCACTTGGTGATCAGCCGGAACTTGTCCTGAATAAGGTCAATCAGGCGTTCCTGCAGCTGAACCTTCGTCCACATCTGCTCCTCGGCAACCTGCATCTCACCGTCATGCATGGCAACATTCTGGATCTCGTTTGTCTTCTCCAATTGCGCTAGCTGAGTTTTGATTTGATCATCCGTCGACGCGAGAGCATTCTGAATCTGTGTCGCGTTCATAATGTCCTCAACTTGCTTTAACATCCGAGTTGGAACCTGTGCCAGTTGTGTCGCATCCAACTGCGAGCGACGAAGCTCCTCCTCCACCTTCTCCATCTTTGCAATTGCGTTGTCAATCATCTGGGTGAAGCTCACAACGCGCGTCTTGTTGCGGTTCTGTTTCAGATCCTGGAGCACCTTCTTCACTCCAATAATATCCATGAACTGCGCCTTGTCTTCTGGGCGGTACAGTTCGCGCTGACTCATCTCGAGGCCACACACGCGCATCAGCTTCGCAAGATCGTACGCCTCCGTCAGGTTCCACTTTGTTCCGACATCGACAGCTGCAATCAGCTCCTCGGCCTTCAGGTGTGCTCCACGCAGCTTCTGACGCTGCGTCTCCGACCAGTCAGACACGTGCAGCTCTTGCACCACTTCCTCGTTCTCGAGGCATGCTGTCTTCAGCTTCAGGTTGTGGATCTTCTGCTTGCGGGCTGCTTCCAGCCCGGTAGCTTCTTCCGCAGACATGGTAATGTGATATTTGTGTGGCTTGTCCCTTATTAAAGAGTAGTTTGTTACTACTAAGGTTTTTCCTTTGAGAATTTTTTTTTTTTTTAGAAAAAAGGATAGGAGAGACTTTAGTAGGGTTAATTGCATTCTGTTGCACCTTTTTTTTTCTTGTTTGAGAATTTTAGTTATTTTTATTAATTAAAGAATTTTTTGTTTTGTATGTGTTCTTTGATATTATTAAATGGCTAAAGTGATTTATCTGTGTATACCGCCCAGCGTCCTCCACTTTTTGAATAGTGGTCCATTGGGTAAAATGTGTCACTCCATGTAGTGCCTCCAAGGGCCACTTCAGCTTCATATGGAGAAAGTAATGGCTTATCAAAGGCATATCCCCAATCAATAGAAAGACGTGGACATGCAACTTGAATGTAGCAATCAATATCCTGTAGTGTGGCAAGCTTCTGTGGGAATATTTCGGACATAAGAAGAATGTTTACGGTTTTGCCTTGACGTTCTGCGAGCTGTACAATGCGGTCCACTACTCGTGGATTGCCTTGACGGCCCAGTGTTCCCATGATAAGGGCGAAACTTGTAGCAGCCATACCCTTCTGTATTGCCTCTCGTCGCAACGTACGCATCTCAGTGGTGTTGTAGCTCTCCTTTGTTAGTGTTTTTTTGTATGGATCATATTGTAACGCGTCTAGTGTTGGGTGAGCGATAAGAAATGATTCCAGATGAAATCTTCCATCACCCACATACAATACCAGATCAACAGCTGTTGGATCTACCATTGGACTTGTACATCCAAGAATTTCACCACTAGAGAGTGGTTTATTCTGTGGTATAATGACAGGGTGTTGAAAATAATCCTTTAGTAGTAGCATTCCAGCACGCATAGAGGATACAAACTGAATAGTGGCAATACATGCTACTCTTGTCTCTGGAGGCACAAGGTGTTTTATGGTATCCACAAAGTGTTGAACGTCAATATCAATTTCTACGAATACATACATCATACTATTGATAAGACAATCTTTGATAGATATGAGGCAACTATGACCATAATGGATTAAAAAATCACAACCAAGTGCTGCAGCAGAGTAATCGTCTACGCAACACGCCCCATACGTTACATCTCCTAAAATCACCATCTCTGCACCTGTTCTCGCCTCTAATATATCGGCAATTGGAGCTGCAAACATCAAGAGACCCTCAGGAAACTGGAGGGCAACGCGTGTAGCATTTTTTTCCTTGATACGTTTTACACTCTTTTCAATCTCAAACCTATAGTTCCCTGGGAGTCCTAACTCCGCCTCATCCGGCGAAGTCATTAACCGCTTTTAATAATAAAGAAAAATAAGAAAAAAAAAACAAGTATGAATTACAAGAAGCAAAGGTGAGAGATAATAATAATAATAATAATAATAATAATAATAATAATAATAATAATAATAATAATAATAATAATAAAAGGTTCCACACACTACTTTATTTATGACATTCTTTAAACTCCGTAATAAACTGTAGCCTGAATTATTCTCTAACACAAACACTTTCAAAAACACGGTATATATACACCCATATACACATTTACAAACACACAGAAACATGTGTTCCTGTGTTTAAAAACCTGCTTGTAATACAAGTAAATTTATAATGAAGTAATGTGAAGAAACAAATAAAAAGAAAACAGTAGAGATAAACTTAATCTCCATGCATATTCCCACTCAAAAAAAAACCTGCCACCACTTCCACACACCAACAACACACACATGAAAAAAAAAAAACATTCTCATTTTACGAAATCTCTCGACCGCTTACGTGACTGCGGTTTGTCTAGCATCTCGTACAGGTCTGGCTCCGGTGTATTTACACACAAACAGTGAGCAAGATACTCCATCTTGAGAACAGGTACGAGTGCGGCGATGGTCTCCAACTGTGTTCCACTCCATACACTATCGTCAGAGAGAACAGCAGTGGTATCTTGTAGCACATCTGGATCCTCCACAAGTTTGTCAAGGAGTTGAGATGGTGAATATGGACGAACGACATTACAGCCACCAATTCGTAAAACCCGAGAAAAACTTTCAGTTCTTGCATCAGTTGCACAACAAAGAATAATACTCCATGAAGAAAATGGCCGTACAGATCGCATTCTCTGGATTTTACATCCTTTTACCAATTCCACTACAGAATTTCGAAATGAGCTTAATTTTGCCATCTGTGGAGACCACTCATGCAATTCTTCAGAGGCTATACGTCCTTCACGTAGTGTCTCATCAATAAATGATGGTGCCAACACCCATTTACCTGCAGCAAGAGCACAGAGAAAAAACTCCGTTCTGGAAGGTTTCCCTGTTACGTAGTGTGTACATTCCTCCATCGTTGTGGCAAGAATGCAACCCAATGATTGAAGTCGTGTAAGATTTTCTTCTGTATGCATTAATGATTTCGCCATCATAATACAACAAGAAGGAGCAGAAGAGTTCTTTTGCTCTTTATTGATATTAGGCACAACGTCCTCCACTGTAACGCAGCGATTATTAGTTCCGTCATCAGTTGCTTTTTTTTTAAGTATTTCTTCTGGTTTTTCATGTTGCATTACCTCAATGGGATACTCATTACTATACTTATACACAATAACCTGTGACTGTAAAGGAATTTTTAGTCTGGTGTTTTCAACATGATTTGACTTCAAAAAACCACTTTGGCGTTTTGATTCACATGATAAACTCTTCACATTATCATTTTGAACGTGTTTTACATTTGAAAAGGTTTCTGCGATAGATTCACCAGTTTTTATTGACGGCCCACCACCCAGTACTCCCATTTTCGACTCAAGCTTTTCAATAAGGATATCAAGTGACTTTGATGGTGTCATTTCGCTTTGTGTCTCTTTAGGTGACAAGGATAACTCTGACACAATCTCATGTTCTCCCTTCATAACTTCATTTTTCTTTTCATTTTCATTATAAGGATGATCATGCTCATGATTATCAATGTTGCTATCAATAGTTTTGGCTTCAATTACACTTACAGCAGTGGAGTTTGGACATTTCAATATTTTTTTTGGTAAGGAGATTTGTGGTATCTCTATTAAGAAAGGAGAGCAGTTAATCCAGTACCCCACTTCTAAGGAACGTCGCACCCAATTCAAATCTACCAGTAAACACTCTTTACGCCGCAGTTTATTCATACGCCAAGTAAGTGCGGCAACCTTTGAGGATTTAGACATTGCAGACCGTTCAACTACGAGATGGGTAGTATTACAGCGTTCATTACTTTCACCTTCTACTACTCTTACCCCAAGAACAAATTCATCCTGTACCAAACAAGGCAATCCTGAATTTTCTAACGCAGAATGGAGTGTTATTCTTTCTTCCTGTGAAACTCCAGTAAAAGTAATTACTGGTCGTTGTTTGACTACTACTCTGTACGGCTCTTCAGCCACAATCTTTTGCTGCTCCACAGAATGTTTTAACCATGTAAAGGAGACAAACTCAATATCAGGACGAAGGGGAAAAGTCTCTGTTGTATTACCTAATAACACAACATGTGTCGTCAAAAAATTTAATACAGGACTATATCGAAATGGAGTTTTAGCAAGAAGATTTTTGACTTCTTCTGTAATAAGGTTTGCAGGAGAAAAGTAAATGACCACATCTTTTGATATTGCCAAAGATTTTTGATATTCAACACATTTTGACTCATGCTGCATTTTTATATTACCATACTGTTTCATAAAATGAAAATAAGAAATTATGTCAATATGGTTTCTTCTTGCGAATTGAACTTTCTCATTATTCTTCAAAACATTAGATTCACCTGAAATGACCAGTAATGCACAATTTCGTGTTAAAGAGCCATTGTATGTGGCTTGAGATAAATCACACACTTCTTGCAAGTGATGACGTTGTTCAAAAGTGAGAGAAGTTCCACAAACCTCTAATCCCAAGAGTGAGTTTCCAACATCAAACTCAGCCAATCTATTCAAGCAACAATTTCCAATCAATACCCAAGCCATTGTAACACAAGGTATCCCTCGTTCTCGTGCCAGCCTATACTTCACTCCATCGCTACTTCTGGAGACAAGCACACATGTCTCAGTAGATAATTCTAATGTGTGTGTTAAACCATGTTTTTGGAGGGAAGCTTTTATGAATTCCAATTCCTTTCCATGTATGGCTGTTGTTGTAACAAGCATTCCCAGTTTTTCTTTTTTTTTTTTCTTTTTTCTTTTTGTTTGGGAACCCCCAAGTAGTTGCCACACGAAATGGCAAATCTAACGCGCCTTTAATCAATAAGTAAAACAAATACAAGAAACAAAAAAAAAGAGAAAAAGAAAAAGAAAAAAAAAAAAGAAGCAGTCTCAAACACATGAGACGTGCAGAAATAATTATCATATAATAATAATAATAACCATAATCACAACACCACGATAAACACAAAAGAAAAAAAAAAAGAAAAAAAATAACTAAAAAAATGAAAAAGAAAAGGACGCAGCTGCAAAAACGACAAGAGGGACATTGATCCATCTAGTAGAAGAAGCCAAGAACCTTTCCACCAGTGTTGCGGCTCCTGGCCTCCTCGTGGTCCATGATGCCAAGGGATGTTGTAAGCACCACAAAGCCAAACTGACGGCTGGGAAGAATGTTCTTCACCCACTTCTCAAAGTCACGGGCCGTGCAGTCAAAGCGTGGGCAGATGGCGCCGCACTTGTTGAGACGACCATTGAGGTTCACCACAATCTTGCCGGCACGGTGGTCATCAATGATCTCAAACTCACCAATATAGCCGTGCTTCTGCATCACCTGCAGGAACTTCACAACGACCTTGGAGGAAGGGCGGATAAGCACCTGGCGCTTGCCGCGGCGCTCAGCGCTCGCAATGCTGCGGAGCGCGTTAGCCAGAACGCTCATCATGGTCATCTTGCCTGTGCCACTTTGTTTATAATAGTAGAAGTAAAAAAGAAAAAAGAAAATAGTAATAATAATAATAATAATAATAATAATAATAATAATAATAATAATAAAACAGAGGAAAACAGTAGATTCTGCAAAAATAATTTAAAGTAGAAACAGTAAAAGAAAGAAAATATACTCAAAATGACTAACTCTGAGAAAACACAAAAAAAAAAGTAGAGAAAAAAAAGGGTGGATTGATACACCTACCTCCAAAACTATAAATATCATTTTCTTTCATTATTATTATTATTACGAATAAAGAGTTTCGTATTGCGCAATATGACGACAAGCTGTCACATGTAATAATTTTGATCTCTGATCAAACCGAAGAGTAACATTCTTCTTATCATTTCTAACTGATAATGAAAAAAATAATGAGGCACCAAGAACGATATATTTATTATCAAACACAGGTTCTGCCCAGAACGTCTTATTTTTTATAGCTGGTGAACCCTTCATTCCTGAGAGAAGGTAACTCCATCGAAGAATATCTGCATAACTTGACAAAGTTGAATCTGAAACCGAAACTAAAAGATCTTCATCAATCAATAAATCATTAATTTTTTGCATCTCCATTATACCATTGAAAGGCTCAAACATGGGAACAGTACCACGAGCACTGTAATAAGAGGTTTCCTTTGCTAGAATCTCTTCTGGAATACCATCTCTTCTCCAAATCTTCAAAACTTCGAGGAAATTCTCACTTGGAAGTTCTATCGTCTCCAAGGCACAGAGTTCTTTACCTTCTTCTACATCTTCACTACATACCCACCTATCGCCTACTAATACTGCTACAGGTGTATCTTCAATACGTTTGTTGAGAGATTCCCAAGCAAGATCTGAGCCAAATTTTTTTTCAGAAACCCCAACACAAGTAGAAGCCTTTGATCTCTCCCCAAGCATACATAATGCAGTGGATTTTCGATAATATGCTTTAACATTTTCTGAATCAAATGAAATCGCCATTTCTGCATCTGATAAGGCATCTTCACTCCTTCCAAGTAGAATCTTTGCAGCCGCTCGGTTAGACATAAGAGCACTTGAGGAAGGCTCATGGATTAGCCCCTCACTGTACCACTTCACCGCTCTTCTAAAATCACCACTCTTGATCGCTTCATTTCCACGTTCTCTACAGTTTTCCGTTTCAGAACCCTTTGCCAACACCCCAGTGACAGATTTCACCTTTCTGAAAGTAGGTGGAAGTGAGTGCTGTACATGTGAAGACAGCACATTATCACCCCGTCTACTTCCCCGCGTAACCCATGCATTGTACCGTTCCAGTTCTTTGGGTAGAGCATCTCTGCCAATGCGATACACCTCTGCAATAAGCTCCTCTGTCTCACTACGCGTGCGAAACACACCACTTAATGGATCCACATCCAACCCAGTGGCAGAATCCATATACACCTCCTGGCCTACAAGCTCTCCATCTACAGGAACTGTCACCGAAACTTTCACAAGATCTTGCATTATTAATATTGTCCTTAGAATACCCGCGTAGAAGGATGCAAGAAAGAAAAAGAAAAAAAAAAAAAAAACCATTACCGAGTTTTTTTTTTTTTTTTTTTTCACTCTCCTCATAACCTCAAAGAGTTAGTACATTGTACATATACACATATAAACATTCACCAAACAAACAATAGATGCCCTACACTGTCGAAGCGAAGTAATAATGAAACAAATATCGTGACTCTCTCTATTCATTCTTGTCAGTCAATCCACATTCACAGTAAATCTAATCCCCAAACCAAGTCTCTAAGAACAACAACAAAAAAAAAAAAACCATTAAACAGAACATGACACGTGCTCCGTTTAAAAACATGTTACAGTATAGAAAAAAAAAAGAGGAATACGGAAAAATCAAGCTACATGCTACGCACATGAGCACGGTTAAATAAACGAAAACTCCAAATACTAGAAAGAATAATCACTCCCACTCAATGTTTGAAGTGGGTGGTCTCCATAAAAACCAAATTCCTTTTTTTTTTTCTTTTCAGCGCTTCCGTTCTTAGGAATGCTATCCACTTGGTGACGTTTGGCCATCGAAAGTTTGGGCCAAAGTCCATTACCTCGTATATTTTTTGCAGGAGAAGCCATGGGCCAGCAAATTCTTTTCCTGAGAGTTTACGGGTTCATAAGCTAAAAACGTCATGCAGCACCGGGGCCAGCAGAGACGTACTAGGAGAAAACCTTATCCAAAAAGACCCTGGGGCGCGAATTAGCGTGCCATCAGCAGCAGTTTCTTTTACATGATTCACTTTAGTGTGAATGCTGCTAAAAAAGGAGTGGCAGGGACCCTAGAGATAGTAACAATTATGCCCTCCAGTGGTGGAAATTGGATTTGGCCGCTGAGGCGACTCAGAGGGAGGCGAAAAAATCCTTGTTGTGCCACCTATGAGTTCCATTGTAATCTCATTACTAATGCGTAATTCCTCTGTGCAACGGTAAACCATAATAAAAATAATATAATATAATATACATATATCTTTATATATACGTATTGCCGTTGATGGCTCACGCCATTGGGGTAAAACTCATAAAACCACGAAGAACAAAAAAAAAAAGACTGTAAGAATGAAAAGAAAACAATTTTCTCCCCCACAACGTTAAAATCCGCAGCACATAATTTGTTACGTAAAAAGATGAGACTCGATCATTTTTTCTGCAAACTGTCAGACTAAAAAAAAAAAAAAAAAAAAAAAACACTTGAAAAATCATTCCAAAACAATAGTAGCCAACTGCAAAAAAGGAGAAGTTGATTTAGCGCCAATTCCGGCACCAGTACAAGAACGCAAACGCATATCGGAGATGCCTCCAGCTACACTGAAATTCTCTGATTTATGAGAACTCTCAATCGTTGCGCTGCTCTGCGATGGTACCTCCACAGGTGCAGTGGGTCGTTCTGATGTATGAGAACTCTCAATCGTTGCGCTGCTCTGCGATGGTACCTCCACAGGTGCAGTGGGTCGTTCTGATGTATGAGAACTCTCAATCGTTGTGCTGCTCTGCGATGGTACCTCCACAGGTGCAGTGGGTCGTTCTGATGTATGAGAACTCTCAATCGTTGCGCTGCTCTGCGATGGTACCTCCACAGGTGCAGTGGGTCGTTCTGATGTATGAGAACTCTCAATCGTTGTGCTGCTCTGCGATGGTACCTCCACAGGTGCAGTGGGTCGTTCTGGTTTATGAAATTCACTCTGTGAATTCTTGTGCTCATAACCCGAACGTTTTTGTAGAAGTTCTATATGAAAAAGATGTTGAAGAAAATATGCACGTCCAATTAGGTTAAGAGCAGACATTTGATTTTTTTCTTCTAGAAGCTCCTGGATTTTCACCTGAGCCGTTTCCGAAGAAAACTCCTTCCGCGTTGTTTGAGAAGCTTGTAATGTCTCCTTGAGAGATGGTAGAGGTTTACCAAGAACAGTGGAAATCGCGGCAACTGTTTTCAAGGTATTAGTGCATTGATTAACAACTCGGGACAATAGTTGAACATTCTCATTACTGTGCTGCGCAGGTGAGGGAACACCAACTCTGCTGTTGAGAATTTCCTCTGCATTATGGACATAGGTCCAGAGCTCTTGTACAGTTGATATTAGTTGAATCATATTCATGAGAGAGTTTTCATTATTGATGGTGGACATCGCAATGCTTATTGTTGAATATACCTTAAACTGAAATGAGAATTATTTCGGAAAAAAAGATAGAAAATATCCGTTTTCGTGTGTTTATCAGCATGGGAAAAAATGATATTTATTGTATATATATATATATTTTTCTTACGCCCAAAAAAAAAAGAAAAAAAAAAAAAAAAAAATATTTTACGTGAACAACAATCGCAAGGAAACGCTTCCAAGAAAAAGCATTACCTCGTGATCAGCAATTGATATGGCCCATGAACCAAAACCCTTAGATTTTAAAGACTTTAAGAAAGAGGGTATNAAAAAAAAAAAAAAAAAAAAAAAAAAAAAAAAAATATTTGTGCATCATTATAAACTATTGGATACGCTTCCAAGAAAAAGCATTACCTCGTGATCAGCAATTGATATGGCCCATGAACCAAAACCCTTAGATTTTAAAGACTTTAAGAAAGAGGGTATATTGCTTTTGGCAATTTGTCCAGTTTTTATCACTGAAGAGGTTGATGAATCCCATCGCTTTGGATACCAAACGTTATCATAGAACATGTTCTTTATTACGCGAGCGGGGCTACTAAATGAGAAATCGTTCGAACCTTTGGTTGTGTTTACACCCAATATACCCTTATTGCATTCCACTTGATACTGCTGAAATAATTTACTGTATATAAAACCCTGCATCACGTATTTATTCACGAAAGATTCTATTTGTAATTGAAGTACTTTGCACCTTTTGACAATAATTTCTTCACATTTTTGGGATCGGAACAGATCCATAATCCTGGTGACAATTTGGGGAATTGAGTTTTCTTCCATCTTTAACGATGAGTTATTGTTTAAAATAAAAATATGTTTAGGATTATTACACTTTTTCACAGAAACTATATTACCCTCAGAACTGACGTTTATACAAACTAAATTTAATTCTGATAAATCATATTCGGGATTTACAGCATTGTTGAAACAGTGTCTCTCACAGACATTTTGACTAAAACTGAGTATTCTACTTTCATACGGCATAACATACTCCTCTGAATAAACCGTAACACGTCTTAATGGCCTTGGTAAAATCTGAGACAAAGAAAATACCATGTTAGCGCACTGAAAACTACTTTCTCCACATACAAGAATTTGGTTTCCAGTAAAAAGAGCTTGAAGAATTAGTTCTGTCTCTTTTAGTCCATTAACATTTCCTTGAATAAATTGTAAAAGCCAAACAGATAGAGGTTTAATTATTGGTGGCTGTCCTATCGATAGAACTCTTCCTCCATCTATTGAAAGACATTTTTCTACAGAGAAGGAAGATTCTAAATCAAGTTCAAAAACATTTACCAATAATATCTTTTCTTTAAGGTATCGTTTAACCGCCTCCAAAAGTAATGCTTCAGAGGATAAACCATCAAAATTTAACGGTTCAAATCCAAATATAGCTGGAAGAGCGCACTCAAAGAAAGTATGAATACGTTTAAGCGTAATCTCCACTGATTCTTCTTTTTCAGAAACTAAAGACATAAGTGGACGCATTAATAACTTGCATGTATCCCCTTGATCTCCATTCGAATAAGAGCAGAAAGAATATTCTTTAGATAAAAGATCTTTTGCTGCCGTAACCCATCTCTCCAATAAAACTTTAATAAAAGAAAAAATCAACGGTCGTTGACGCACAAGTTCACTGCTCTCAGGATGTGTCACTATCAAACAAAAACGTCTTTTCTTACCTCGTGCCATTATATCCTCTAAAGAAAACGAAACACTAGCGATACCACCTGCTATTGGATCCAACATCATAACCGATTCTTCATTTGATTCATTTGAAGCAAAAACACGTGCAATAATTGCAATCATACGCTCCTTTAAATCTAGATGTAAAGAACCACTAACTACATTGGAACTGATCAATACTTTACCACATACTGCAGAAAAATCTAAAAATTGAGGCCCAAACAAATCATTTTCCTGATAAGCGTAAAACTCTAATACACTAATTGCCTTTGGTCCTTCGACAGCGTCAAACTCCCCTAAAGTAACCATAGGCACAGTCCATCGTTTTCGAATCATATTTCCTTTAAGGGGAACCAAAAAAAGAAAAAGAAAGGAAACATTATAACAATAACAATAATAATATATATGTATTCTAGAAAGTGAAAGTCAAATCAAAACAAAAAAAAAAAACCACTTTATTCTTCATGGAAATAGAAAAAATTCATGACAATAAAAAAAAAAGAAAAAAAAAAACATAGACTGAGATTTCTACATTGAAAAAGCTGAAGACCATGTCAGTCCAAACTTAATTCGATCAAATAAATTTTTGTTACCATTTTCAAACCTAATATTACCAGTTTTATCTATACCAACAGGAACTGAAAAATTCAGTTCAAGACGCCCGTTTGGTGCTACACCAAACAATGGTATTCTCGTTACCACTATACCTAAACCCATAGAAGCAGCAGATGTACGTAACCATTCACCAATATCCATAAGTTCTATGTGAGATTTTACCATTTTTAAATTACCTATATTAGCAAAGAGATGCATAGCCGCCATACCATTATTAGGAAAAAAGAGAAAGGGAAAGTTAATACTCATGGATGTTGCCCAAAGTGCATTACCACCTGTAGCTGCAAAACGTCCTCCTTCCTTTTTAACATTTTCAATAGTAGAAGGACCAATACTTTTAAAACCACGAACATGACAAGATGAAAGAAAAAGTCTGTCATTTAATGGAATTCTACCTTGATTATATGACCATATTCCTGCTAATTTGAGGTTCCATTGAAAACTAAAAAAAGGACCTAATGGCCAGTATTTTGCCGTTTGTAATTCTGATTTTATAAAAGTAAACTGTCCTCCAAGAGGTCCACCAGCAAGTTCATTTTTTAAACTTAGTTGACCTCCATTAATTGGTAAAGGGTACATATTACATAAAAAGGGATCAGCGTGATACTCTGCATTTGAAAGAGCTAAATCATGTCTAATAAAACCTTTTAATGTTTTCTTAAAATCATCAAGAAGATCATTACTTAATTTTCTTTTTTCTTTTGACACTAATAATCTCCGTTGAAAACCAATAGAAAGTTCAGATGAAAATCCATTTTTTTCATTTTTTGAAGTTGCTCGTATTTCTTCAACTTTTTCACTACTTGCTGGATGAAAAGTTTTATTTTCACTTCGTTCTCCAATATAATATTCAGCAGTTTGTCCTAAAAATGGAACATTAGAACGAACTGAAAAAGAAATAGCATGAGTTCTCGATGTTGGTGGAACATAATTTCCAGTTAACGAATATCTAGCTCCAAAAATATTCTCTAATGAAAAAGTAAGTTCAGGAACTATGGTTTCTGTGGTAAAAACACCAATAGATTTTGTTGGTCTAGATTCTTCAACATCTATGTGTACACAAACATCATTAGCTTCCCCATCAAATGTAGGCTCCAAATTAAACTTTACAGATCTAAAAAAACCCATATGAGTCCATCTAGTTTTGGCTTCATTCATATTATTAGTAATTTCGGCTATGGTCTCTGAACGCTTAATGGCTTCAAGATCTCGACTAATAACACGAGGATGAATTTTCTCAATACCTCTCATTCGCACATGAGTACGTATCGGAACGTCAAGAACCTTGTTAATATCATCTTCTGCTATATTAACTTCCTGTGAAAGAACAGATACCTCCCCTTGGTTGTTCATAGTCTATCTTTTTTTATTCTTTTATCTCTTTCTTTTTCCTTTTAAATTTTTTACTAGTTTATTTTTTTATTTTTATTTTTTTTTTCCCTTAATGTATTAGGTTATTAGACAAGTAATATATACGTACGTAAATAAGTATGTATGTATGTATGTTTTTTTACGTATATATTTCCACCTACATGAAAAATAAATAATAATAGTAAAAATTAAGAAAAAAAAAAAAAAAACAAGATCATAACAAGGAAGAATTTATACTAGAAAAAAAAAACCACGAAAAGGCTAAACTTTGTGCATCTTCATTTTTTTTTTTTCACCTTGCATACTACTATGTTAAAAAAAAACATTTCTGACTGAAAAAAAAAAATGACACACACACACACACGCGCACTAAAAAAAAAAAAGACATCTTGCCTAAACAAACCAATTCTGCAAGAAAAAAAAAAAGAGAAGAGAACTTCTCACCTTATTTTATTGATATGCTCTTCCACGATCGAAATTTGGAGGAAACCATTCTTCGAGAGTAAGTTGAGGAAATACATTGGGCTTCAACGTTGAGGTTCCAAGTAGCATATTTACACATTCTTGAAATCCCTGTGTTACAGCAGGGTATGCAGTTCGTAACTCACTTAAATTATATATAGACTCTCGATTGTGAATAGCCAATGATGCTAACTCTATAACACTACTTGCATGAGGACCAATAGCTCTTACCCCAAGAACTTGCATTTTGTGATCATTTGTCACTATTAATTTCACAAAACCTCTTGTATTACCCATAGCTATTGCACGAGCTACAAACTCATAACCATAACGAGACATTTTGTAAGCAATATTTTGTTTACGACATTGTTGTTCATTTAAACCAACTGCAGCAACTTCTTGATCAAGAAACATAATAGTTGATAAGTTATCTAAGCGTTGTACAAACTCACCTTCAGGATGAGGACGGTACATATGTTCGATACATAAACGACCTTCTAATTCTCCTACATTAACTAATGCAACCCTTGTAGAAACATCTCCACAAGCGTAAATATGTTTGTGAGGTATAACACGATTAAATTGATCTCTTTTTAATCTACCATTATTAAGTTCAACACCTATTGCTTCTAATCCTATTCCTAGTAAATTTGGTTCTCTTCCAATAGAAACTAAAGCATTATCTACAACATGATTTGTAAGTTTATTATCTCGAAGATCACGTAAAGTGTAATGAAACTTTCCATCTTCAACTTTATTACTTTCTAAAGCAGAATGATGATGAAAAGTTACATTTTTCATTTCAAGAAGTTTCTGAACAAACATAGCTACATCATCATCTTCCATTGGTAAAATACGATTAGTTTTTTCAATTATATTAACTTTCGTCATACCAAAATTAGCAAATATTGATGCAAATTCACATCCAATTACACCAGCACCAATAATAACTATACTTTTTGGAAAAGGTTGAGTCATAATATCATCAGAGGTAAAAACAACTTTTCCATCTCCAATAACGGTAGCATGCTTTCTAGGTTTAGCTCCACATGCTAAAACAAAATAATCAGCTTCTACTACTTCAATACCTCCATTAGTCAAACGAACTTCAACAGTATTAGGGGATGTAAATACTCCATAACCTTGAATTACATCTATATCTACTGTCTTTAATTGTTGAAGAATTTGTTTTTGACGAAATTCTGCAGCATATTTTATTGCCTTTTGAATATTAGAAAATTCTATATTAGGAAGGGGTTGACGAGATTTCATAAATCGATTTGCTGTTTGTCCATTCATTAAACGAACAAATTTAGACATTTCCCAAAGTGTTTTTGATTGTAAGGCTCCATTCCAAAGATCCGCTCCTCCAATTTGAGCTGATTCAATAATACAAGCTTTTTTCTTATAATCCACTGCTCTCAATGCACTTGCTATACCTGCTGGACCACCACCTATAACACAGACATTAATCCTTTTCCCTCTAAGAGGGAAATTCCAACGCATCATTTAGAAAATTTTTCTTTCAAAAAATATCAGTTTCAATAGATGAAAAAAATAATAACACTAAGAAAGGACTTCAATAAAAAGAAAGAAGAAAAAAAAAAACATATAGATATTTAATGATGGATCCGAAAAAAAAAAAATTTAATTAAAATTAAAACCACAACTTTTTTTTTTATTATCAGAAAGGGATTATGATAATAGCAAACATCATTGATAGTCAAGGAAATTTTTCTCGATACGAAGTAATCCCTGTTCCTTTTTAATGTTATTATAAGAAAAACCACCATCATAATGATAACAATCATCATAATTATAATTATAATTATTGCAATTGTGGCAGTTGTTTATTTTTTTTATCTATTTTTCAAAAAGAATGGGGACGGTAAGGAATGACGCAAAAGTTCAAAAAAGTAGAAATCAAAAAAAAAAAAAAAAACACTTTCCAAAACACCGGGGAAATACCTTGACATTCGGAGTTAAAACACCCGCGGAGACCCCTTCTCTTTGATTCCCTCCCTTTCCCTTCCCGGACCGGAGGGGCAGGAAAGAAAAAGAGGAAACCAGAATCGGGGAGCAAGCAACACCGACCACACCCCAACGCCAGGCGGATTTAAAATACAACCCCCACCACCCCCAGACCATCAAAAAACAAGAAATAAACCTTCGGGTCCGGCCTTCGTTTAAAAAACGCCCTCCGCTGAAATGGATAAAAATCAAAAAAGAAAAAACCTTGGGGCGGGGGGCGGCATGGAAAAGGGTAAGGGGAGGGGTTGGGACCCCGCGATCCCTTCAAGAAGAATAAAAACTAGATTCAATTAGAAAAAAAAAAAAAAAGAGTGAGTGTGGGAGATGCACACCGTCACCACCACAAAAAAAAAAAAAAAAGAAAATAAAGAAATTAGAAAAAACCAACATAATCAAAAAGAAATAAAAAGATTCACAAAAAAAAAAAAAAATAATTTTTCTTTTCCTTCTTTTTTTCTTGTTTGTTTAATAAAACTATTACCTTTACTCCCGTGGTCACCATACCCAAGTGGTTACGGGGACTGACTAGAAATCAGTTGCGATCTCGCGCGCAGGTTCGAATCCTGCTGGTGACGTCTTTTCTCACTTTCTCTCTGAACCTTCTGACCATCACCCATTAAGAATTATTTTTCTATAGTTATACTTATTTAATCTTTTATGGCGTTAGACATGGCCGCTTAGCTCAATGGCAGAGCGCCGTCCTAGTAAGACGGAGGTTGGGGGTTCGATCCCCCCAGTGGCCTTTGCTTTTTCCCGTAATTTTCCACCTCTTTGGTTTAAGAGAAAAAACGCCGCGAAGGGAAACAGCATTCCTGAGAACGGAAGCGCTGAAAGAAAAAAAAAAAAAAAAAGAATTTGGTTTTAAAGGGGACCACCCACTTCAAACATTTAGTGAGTGCATTTGGTTCCCTTGAATGGATTAGAGCGCTTGACCTTTACGCCGAATGAAGGCAGCCCTCATTACCAAGGGCTTTATTGGTCTAAAACCCCGCCCACGGCGGCCAACCCAACCCATGGGAGGCAGAGGCCCGCAGCCAGAGCGCAACGCGCTGTGCCGCAAACAAAAGCGCAACCACCACCAGCACATGTAGAAAACACAAATCACAACGGCAAACACCGGCCGGCGCGCCTGGCACCCCCAAAAAAATACAGGGGTGGGGGTCCGACCCCGCCAAACGGACAAGTCCGGGACGGCCTGGGACACCGCCTAACTCCACCAAGGCGGAGCAGCACAACGACACAGAGGCTACGAACGACCAAAAGAAGAATAACAACTAGTAGAACGCCAAAATAGCAGAGGCGCAACTATTGTAGAGACCGCCTGCTTAAACCAGAAAACCGCCACCCCACCCCGGCACCACCAGCCGGCCAAAGTTGTGACAGACGGCGGCGGCGACGCCACCAGGCCGGCACAACCCAAAACACCTACAAGGGTTAGCTTGTGTGCGAAAATGTGCCCCAATACCACCGCAACGAGGCCCAGTAGAGCACGGAGGCGGGAAACGCACGGCACTCGCAAAACTGAAAATTCACCCCTGGGGGGTGGGGCTGGGAAGGGCACCCCGGGAGCATAATGTGTTCTTTTGCGGGTATTTCGGGAGCGACCATTCTTGGCCGAATGCACCATATCCCGTCCGATTTGTGAAGTTAAGCGGCCACAGGCCTCGTTAATACGGCGATCAGTGATGGTGCTGGAACCCGGGGGGCCGTACCCTCCTCAATGTTTTTTTTTTTGCCAACATCTTGGGGTGGGCGCCGCGGACCCCCGATGCCAACCACGGCTCGCCTTTGGCAATGAGGGCTGTCCAATCGCGGCGCCCAGCTTATCCACATCCATCTCCCAGGGAAAAGCCAAACAAACTTCACACATTGTTGTGGTGGGGCAGGCGGTGGGGTGCCAACAAACCAAAACACTTGTGCGACGAAATGTTCTTGTTGTACTTACTTCTCTTTTTCTGTATTTCCCATGGATCTCCTTTTCACACCACACATGGCGGTAGGGGAACGTCTTAACACATCACCATAGCGGAATTTGCCTTTATCATAGGGAAGGACTCACCCTCATGTTCTTTGTTCATGGTGCCGCGTGCCACCGAGTAAAAGGTGCGGTTGGATGGCCACACCATGTCACGAGGGGAACGGGGAAGGGTCATCTTTGCGGAATACCTTTCAAACCCATCTTACTCAGCGTTGAAGTGGGGAAAGCAAAAGTTTTCCACTATGCCCAACCCCACTCATTTTATAAGTGAAACACCCCAGGGAGCCACCCCACCCTTCTTCTCGTTGCGCACAAGACGCTGACAAGTTGTCCGCCCGCCTTGGGTTCTGGGGTCGTGTTCTCCTCCTCCCCCTTCTTGGGGTGAGGGATAAAAAAAAAAGAAAAGGGCAAAACCCGACAACGAGCCTCGAGCATTGCGCGCGTAGACTGGTTGCCGGGTTTCATCATTTTTTTCCCTCATCCTCACTCTTCTTTTTCTCTCAAGTTCAAAGTCCCTGAGCATGATATTTCAGGCCTCAAGGTTCAGCGCCTCGGGACGTAAAGTACCCCTCGAGCCTCGCCGAAGCGAAGCATGCCGCCCACACAAACCCCACAAAGGTCACAGTGGAGTGGTCCAGCAACACAAGGTGTCCTTCCCACTCACAATCCACACACACACAATGACAGTCTCACATGCTCATGTCAGAGAGGCACTGCGGTATTCACTAAAATGTACACTAAGTCACACACCTACAGAGAGGAAAAGAAAAACACAAGAAAAGAACGACAACAACAGGATACCAACAACACACAAAGCACTCACAATACAATAATCACAGGTGCCACTCCCACTAGAGAAAAACATTCACCCACACCAGCACATCAACTCAACCCCCAGATAGAGAAGGAAAAACAGACCCATTACGTGAAGCCGAAGCGGAACAGTCTCAGTCAACCTCCCCGCAGGCTGCAGTTACTCAAGCAAGCCACACAACAAACAACACAAGGGCAGAAATATGTTCGTGGCAATGCCGTGAGTGACACCACCGAGAGAGAAGGTGAGAACAAAGAAATGCGTTTTCATTACATGGGCGGTGTGAGTAGCAACCCAAACACAGAAAGGAACACACAACAGAGGGACACACTCAAACACCTACAACCCATCGCTCTTTATACATAAGTATGTAGAGAAGGGTGACCGTATGAGGCAGACACAATAGTAGAGGAAAAATGAACACTCAAGAAATAAACCTTTCAATGTTTTACTGAAGGGAAAAAACACACACAAAAAAAAAACAATATATTGAAAACAATATAATGAAAACAAGAAGAATCCATTGACCACCTTGTGAACATGTTCAGGGTGCAAGCAACACAATTCTCTTCAGTATGTGTGTGTGTCTTTCGTATAGGGCGAGCAGTGGGAATGATGCACACATGACGACAGCCCACAGACACAAAAGGAAGGAATGCCGGTAGTGTGCGTGTTTGTATGTCCTGAACCTCCTGAGATTCTTCACATTTCAGTCACAGTAATTACAGTATATTAGGTTTGTATCCCATTCCCACTGGTGAAAGCAATAGTTAGTAATATCACGGAACACACACACATCACCAGGCAGGCACAGTGAACGGTGGCAAAACAGAGCCCAAATAATGCGAAGAAAGAAAAAACAAAGTAAACTGGTATACACCGAAACGGTTTCTCTGTAATTGGGACCGCAGAACATGTCGTCCAACCTGGAGATGTTGTCATATTTGGTTTATGGTTTCTTGAGGAAATTACATCCCCACTCCCTCACCAACAACATTTCAGCCTTGTTGTAATCTGCCTGGTAGTACCCTGTAGACTCCAATGCAGCAAGAGTCAACTTGCTGTACAACTTTCTTCCGCCTTTGTTTTCCTTGAGTGGGGCCATCAACTCGTGCTGCGCAGCCTTTCTATCAAAGTGAGTGTCAATATCGTTTTCTTTCTTGGGTGCAGAATTATCCAATTTCATTCCAATACCCCCAGGACAACCATATTGTTCCTTCACCCTCTTTTTTATTTCCGTACTGTTGAGCTCTTTATACCCTACGAAGTTGCTCTTGATCCCACTGAGCACCATCTCCTTAAATTTTTCTACTTCCATGGAGAATCCAAGCCCGTGCGCAATCTCGTGTGCAACAAGGCGAATATATTGATCCGTATTTTCGATCTCAAATGGATTCAATTTGATCATGGCAGATGTTGGGCGTCCATCCTTGTCGTAAGTGCAAATCTTCGTGCCCGGGTTTCTGGTAGAAAAACCCAAATGGATCACAAAATCCGTATCGGGAATACCCATCCCCTTATCACCGTCCGAAGTGGAAACCATTTCAACGCACCTCGTACCCTCAGCATCGGATATAAGTTGTCGATCATATGGTACATTAATCTTCAAGCGATCCTTCACACGCTTGACCTTAAGACGTTCAACATGCATTGAGATGGCCTGAGGCATCACTTCCCACAACAAAGTATGGATCTTTTTCTCACCTGGTGTTTTTATCGCCTCACACACTTTTTCGTCGAATCCTTTGTGTGTGCTGAAGGTGTATCCTCTGAGCCAAGCCCTTTTGAACTTACAGTACTTCATCACTTTCTGAATCATTCCTGGGTTCACAGCAATACGGATGTTCTGCCATTCCTTTGTGAGATTAACGTCTTCATCGTCATCAACGAGATATTTAACAACCTTCAAACCCCAAATGATCTCTTCCTTTGTTTTGTTTGGCATTGGCCCCCCGGGTTCCTTGTTCGGATCGGTCGTATACGGCGATAGATAATCAGTGTCTGCAATACACCCGTAGGCACAACACAGCAAGAGCAACGCAGCGAATAACAGTTGACGCATGTGGATCTTCTTTGAGGGCTTACTCACAAATGTGTTTTTTTGTGTAGTTCTCTTAAAATACAAAACAGAAAAGAGAGAAAAGAGAAGGCAAGAGATGCATTCACAAAATTGAAACAAACGCGCCGGGCGCAACACAACATGCACGATCACACCGCTGCTACACAACCCCACCACTCAAATTACGATATGCACTCTTCCTGGGCACAGTCACCCATTCACTGCAGCGCAACAGGCAACAGCGGACTCCACAACCACATAGGTGGAAACCCTCCGCACATCACATTCCCCAGAAACAACGATAATGGCGCTAGTGGCGGTCGTTGAGGTACTGCGGGGCGCTGCATCATCCCCGATCTCGCAACCCCACCCCACGGTCACCTGATACACGCACCGAGTACCCGCCAAAAATCACACCACCATGGCGGCTTTGACCTTTCCTCCTTTGGAAGCAAACAACAGGGAATCTTGAAGGCAGAAAACCGCTCTCCACATATCCTTCTTGGCAGCATCACGAGGAACCACACACCACAAACAGAGAGAGAGAGAATATATCTACATATATATTTGTTTTAAGACCGAATTAATCCAAACCTTGCTTTCCACGTAATTCATAGGAGCGTTATCCCCTTGCCGAGCCATATCTGACACATCAATGGTTGGTTGTGTGGAAACGTTTTCTTGTTTCCAAGTCGGCTCCTCTGCTGTTCTTATGTTTGGGTGGGACAATTCCGCCACTGAAACTCTCTTTGCGAGAGTTGTTGTGGTGCCGCCATAAATTGCGCTTGCGTTTCCTCCAATGGTGTTTTTGCGGACATGGCTTCCTGGTAAATATGTGCCATTCGGTTTTGTAATTCCTGAAATTGCATATTTGCGTCTTGCTGTGTTCGAACCGTATCACCCTCCGATTGCACTCGTGCGCATTGGTACTGATGGTATAAAAATGAATCGGTCTCCTCCAGTGCTGCCCATTGGGCGCTGAAACGTGCGCGTGCCCCCCGAAATCCTTGTAGAAAGCCTGCGTTCCGCGGCACTGCGAAGCTAATAATGGAGGAACCAAGGCCCTCCCATGTCATGACTTTATGTGGGTTCACATGAACCGTGAGTATGTTGTTTTCCATTGATAAAAAAAAAACCATCAGCGTGATAACTTCAATGCGGGGTGTCAGCTGGACGAAAGTCAAAAGCAAAGGCTGCAGGGCCATTATGGCGCACAAGTGCCGTGAACGCCTACGTGCTGATTTGCCCCTCTACTTCTGTGTGCGACGGACGGGTTATAGTTAACATTTTCCTTGCTTGTAAACTTAATTTTTTCCGAAACCTACGTGTGTCAGACTGTTAAGATAAAAAAGAAAAAAATCATTCCCAACCTCAAAACTCCAGTACTCCATTTGTTACCAAAAAACGTGAGTCTCGATTTTTTTTTTTCGCAAGCTGAAAGCTTGCGATAAGAATGGCAAAGCCTTACTTTTTGGAACTACAGATTTATGAGTTTTGGTAAACCAAATTCTATTTCTTTTATCTTTACAGTCTGCCTAACAGTAAGTTTCTGAAAAGCCCACCCAACCCAACCCACTCCGCCCCGAGCGGGAAGCGGGATAAAAGGGCTTCTCAGCACTTCCTTTTCGTTAGTTTCTGTTATGTATTAGCAATCATCATCGGGAAAAGATTTGATAGAGATATGTAAATAATGCATCAAAACTTGTTTGAACAATCATGGAAACAAAATATTTTTCTCTTGTGTTTTATTTCTTTAAAGAGGGAGTAAGGCTAGGGTATTCTGTCAAAAAAAACTCTAAAAACTGAGAGTATATATATATTTTTCCGAGGAAACATACGAAATTTCATCACTCAAGTAAAAGCATATAAATTATGTTTTCTTAAAGAAGAACATATAAAGCATGTATTAATGTGTGTAAACAAAAACCACACAACCAAAAAAAAAAACACTGTATCAAGTAAGCACACTACCCTGTTACATCCTTGTCCTTGAGACCATTGTTATCCACGAGGTCATAGATCTACTTTCGTTTGAGAAGTGTTGAATTTTTTTGGTACTCTTGGTCTTCCGTCACCATCGTCTTCACCTTTAGCGGGATCTCCATCGACTTCTGTTTACTTTCAGCTTCCATGGTTTCGTTGAAGCACAAGACATGCTCACCCATGTATTTCATATGGTCCATCACAGAAATCATACCAATTCTGTTGCTGCACTTGGAGTCCTCCTCCACACGTTTCAAGGTACATACATTTCCCTTCACATCACTGCAGTTCCTGTATTTGTCTACACCGTCACTATTGTACCAAACCTCCCCTCCAGTGTGTTCAAAACCAGAAAACATTGGTGGAAGATGGGGTACCACATCCTGATTGTTTGTGATGCGGTACGACTTGTGTCTGCCGCGGCAGAACAGCGCGGACACCCACGATGCGAACGCATTGTTTCCCACGCGCGGGGCACCGAACGTGTACAGTTCGAACTTTGGCGGATGCATAACGTCGGGGTACCCCTGTGACGCGAAGTCCGCCGCCGCAAGCACCGCCATGGCGCCACCAAGACTGTGGCCGGTGATGAGGACTTTGAGGCTGCGGTTAGGGGATTCAGTAATCAGCTTCAGCAACTCCTTCCACATCTCATCACGCAGTGATAAGAAAGAATTGTAAAACCCACGATGTACAATGCAACCCCAACAACTGGGTTTCTGGTAAGGGACGGGCCACATGTCAAGATCAGCCAACCAGTTGATTATATTCAGGGAGCCACGGAAACTTATCACAACGCGCTCTTTTTCGTCGACACCCATGTACGCCAAAGTACCGTACGTCGTGTTCGTAAATAGCTTCACGACCTTTAACTTGGGAGGCTTTTCACAGGCAATACAGCTCCAGTTGCCAATTTGTGGAACATAGCAATACGTGACCTTTGAGTACAACAGCGCAGACTTCGCCAACGTCTCTGAGTACGCGGCGTGAACCCCACAGCTGCAAAGCAGAAGTAAAAGGAACAATAATGCTGATGGGGCCAAACGAGAGCGAGATACAGAGAACATGTTGTTACTGTGGTTTTTTGAATTATGCTAATGCTTTGAAAAGGGATAGGTAAAAGTAAAGGTTCAGAAAGACATAAAGGATCCTGAGGAGTGAAGATTTCGTTAAATAATGTATCATTGACTCTATTTCCAGGGTACAAAGAAACCTGGTACTTCCTTTTTTCTTCTTCCAAGGTATATATTATGAATTTCACAACATTGTATGAAAAACCGGATTATTATTACAGAGTATATTAACTTATTGAACCCAACCCATTGAAAAGTAATATACAAATGACACTAAAAAAAGAATCCTTTAGAGAGAGAGAGAGTATATCTATATATGTTTTAAGACCGAATTAATCCAAACCTTGATTTCCACGTAATTTGTAGGTGCGTTATCCCCTTGCCGAGCCATATCTGACACATCCATGGTTGGTTGTGTGGAAACGTTTTCTTGTTTCCAAGTCGGCTCCTCTGCTGTTCTTATGTTTGGGTGGGACAATTCCGCCACTAAAGCTCTCTTTGCGAGAGTTGTAGTGGTGCCGCCATAAATTGCGCTTGCGTTTCTTCCAATGGTGTTTTTGGGGCCATGGCTTCCTGGTAAATATGTGCCATTCGGTTTTGTAATTCCTGAAATTGCATATTTGCGTCTTGCTGTGTTCGAACCGTATCACCCTCCGATTGCACTCGTGCGCATTGGTACTGATGGTATAAAAATGATTCCGTCTCCTCCAGTGCTGCCCATTGGGCGCTGAAACGTGCGCGCGCCCCACCCGAAATCCTTGTAGAAAGCCTGCGTTCCGCGGCACTGCGAAGCTAATAATGGAGGAACCCAGGCCCTCCCATGTCATGACTTTATGTGGGTTCACATGAACCGTGAGTATGTTGTTTTCCATTGATAAAAAAAAAACCATCAGCGTGATAACTTCAATGCGGGGTATCGGCTGGAAGAAAATCAAAAGCAAAAAACTTTGGGGCCATTATGGCGCACAAATGCCGTGAACGCCTACGTGCTTATTTGCCCCTCTGCTTCTGCATACAACGGACGGGTTGTAGTTAACATTTTCCTTGCTTGCAAACATAATTTTTTCCGAAACCTACGTGTGTCAGACTGTTAAGATAAAAAATAAAAAAACCATTCCCAACCTCAAAACTCCAGTACTCCATTTGTTAACAAGAAGCATAAGTTTCGATTATTATTTTTTTTCGCAGGCCGAAAGAAAAAAAAAAAAACAGACCCATTACGTGAAACGGAAGCGGACCAGTTTCACTCCACCTCCCCGCAGGCTACAGTCACTCAAGCAAACCACACACCACACAACACAAGAGCAGAAATATGTTCGTGGCAATACCGCGAGTGACACCACCGAGAGAGAAGGTGAGAACAAAGAAATGTGTTCATATTACGTGGGCGGTGTGAGTAGCAACCCAAACACACAAAGGAACACACAACAGAGGGGCACACTCAAACACCTATAACCCACCAATCTTTATACCAAAAAAAAATGTGAAAAAAAAGAGTGACTGCGTGAGGCAGACACAATCATGGGCACAAAAGGATCACACAAATTGTATAGGAAAGGAAAAGGAGAAACACACAGCTGCACATAATGTGCAATGAAATTATAATGAAACACACACACAAGGGAAAAACAATGTAATGAAAACAAAACAAATAAAAACAATGCTCTAACAATGCATCCATATCCACTCAAACAGAAATTATCTGTGCAACTGTGTCATGGGAACACCAATCAGCACACGAGAGTGCAACCCAATACAGAGAGCACAAGAAGAATCAAGGAACTGTGCACCAATGCAGGACTGCTGCTGCCGTCCTTCTTCTTTTTCTTGGCCTCTTCCTCCCTGGCCTTTCGCTCCGCCTCCAGTCTAGCTTTTTCTTCTGCATCCCTTTTGGCTTTTTCCTCTCTCACCTTCTGGGCCTGTTTTTCTCTTTCCTTTCTCTCCTCTTCTTCCTTTACTCTTTGCGCCTCTGCTGCTGCTGCTGCAGCTGCCGCCTGTTTTTGCCGTTCTTCCTCCTTTCTCCTTCGTTCCGCAGCCATTTTCCTTTCTTCAATGCGTTTCTTCACTTCCTGTTCCTCCTCCTTCTTTTTCTGCTCCAAACGTTCCTCTTCCTTTTTCTTTTCCTCCTCCAATTTCTCTTTAAGGTCGGTTGTGTCAACTGTTCTGTTCTTGGTTGCCAGAGGAGACGCCCCGCCAATCGTACTCTCAGACGCTCGGCCGACTATATCCTTCGATGTTTCTTCATGAGCAGGCTCTTTCTTCAAGTCATCCTTCAATGATTCCCGCACAGCCTCGTCGTACTCTCTCACATTCCCTTCGACGTCACCTGTCCTCATGTCAAACTTCTCTTTCATCCCCTCGAACAGTTTCACCGCCTTGTGCATCTTGTTCTTCGTTTCCATCACACGCTGATTTGTTTCCCTCGAGCAGGCGATACTTCGTTTGCTGATCACTAGGAGATGCTGATAAACCCCATTGATTTCATTGTATATCCTCTCGCTCCTTTCAATAAGGAGCTCTTGTTCCTCCGTTCTATTATCTTCAGGTATTCCCTTTAGCACTCCTGTATAATACACCCTGCTATTGTTTTGAGTCTCCAACATGTCTTGCATATTCTGCATCGCACCCGAACTCCATAAAACCAATTTCCTTGCCTTCTCGACCGTATCCATCGCCTCCCTAAACACGCGGGAATTTTCTTCTACCTCCCTCGAAGCATTTTCCACGAGATTGGCAAGTTCTTCAGACACAGAAGGTTTAAAAAAGCCACCCGGATGATTTTTTTCTTCGGCGACAATACCATCAACGAGTTTTATCGTTTTTTCGGCAACCTTCTTGGCTTCATCAGCTTTCTTGGCGCAAGTCACCACCGTAGTATCCCACAAATCTTGATAGCTCCTCCCCTCCCCAAGATGCTTTTCCGCCCCTTCTATCCAACCCTTTAAAAAATTCACTGCGCTCTTTTTTTCGGCATCATCATCTGCATGGACCACACACGCACAACACTGCAGAAGTACCAACAGGTACACCACACGACGCAGTTGGACGAACATCGTTGTCATGACTGTCACCGTGAGTTGCTTGGATCTGTGGTAACAAGGAAAAAGAGAAAAAGGAGAAAAGAGACGCACATTTAACACACAACGCAGAGAGTACACAGCAACACACAGAAAAAAAAAAGAGAGAGAGTACACATCACAACAGCAATCAAACACAACCCAATGGAGGGAATTACAGTAAACCACTCACACAATAAAACGCACCCAGAGTTACACAGATATTGAAACAACACCTTGAATTTAGAAGAAGTGGAAAACAAATGGTATCAAAACAATATTGAATAAACGTCTCTACACACACACTTCAATATCTTACTCGGTATTCATACACAAAGTTTGTCTGTATTCCCATTATAATAAAACCATTACCAGGCAGTTTGAACACCAAAATACACCAAAAACACTGTGTACGCCTGGCAACATACAAAAACAATACCACAAATCATCAACAAAACAAAGAGACCGTACAATAATCAACACACACATCCAAACGGAAAAAAAGAAAAGAAACCAATGCATCACCATAATATTTATACCAACACCACAATTGGAATCTAAAACCCACTCACCCACAACCATAACCAAAATGACTGCATACATCACTGTAATACTATGCCACTCTTTACAAACAGAGGCAACACAGAATTACTCTCTCTCTCTCTCACACTCACATATTACCTCTTTATTTTTTCCATCAGAATGCCGGTTCGCCTCTTCTTCTTACACAACGTTATCACCAACAAAAAAAAGAAAAAAACACGTCCCCCCCACGATGTACATGAGGAGGGTACGATCCTACATATCCCCTTCAACCACCACCCCAATGGACCCCCCCCCGCACACCACACCACACCAGCACGTTTTTTTTTTTTTCTCTTCTTCGTGGCTTTGTGGATATTGTTCCGATGGAATGGGTCATCAAGAATAATACATAAATATACATAAATACAATTTGTTTTTATATTATTTTTATCTACTACCGTTGGGCATGGGGAGTACGCATTGGTAATGAAATTACAAAGGATCTCGTAGGTGGTAGAACGTGGATTTTTTCGCCCCTCTGAGCCCCCTCAGCGGTCAAATCCAATTTCCGCCACTGAGATGGCATAATTGTTACTATCTCTAGGGTCTCTGCCACTCCCTAGCGGCATTCACGCTAAAGTGAAATATGTAAAAGAAACTGCTGCCGATGGTGCGCCGGAACACGCCACAGGATCTTCTTGAATAAAGTTTTGTCCTAGCACGACTCTGCTGGCCCCTGTGCTGTATAACGTTTGTAGCTTATGAACCCGTAAACTCTCTAGAAAAAGAATTTACTGGCCCATGGCTTCCCCAGCAAAATAATAGGGGATGATGGGCATTGGTTCCAACTTTCGATGGCCAAACGCCAAAAGAGGGAAAGGCATGCCAAAGAACAGACGCGAGAAAAGAAAAACAAAAAGGAACGCGCTAGATTTTTGAAGTGGGGTGTGGCGGTGAAACCGAAAAAATTTTTTTTTTTTGGCATGCGTTTGCGTTGCGGGCGGATTGGGGGGCGTCCCCTTTGGGGTTTTTTTGTTTTTATTTTCTAAAGCCTTCGAAAAGAATGGTCAAGCTTTTGCGTTAATAGGAATGAAAGGGTATATGAAATTTAATGTTGGTATTTTTGTTATTTATCGTTCGCCTTGGCTGCTCATCGAATTTAAGATTCCCTTTATTTAAAACGTTCCTTTTTTCCGTTGGGAAGTTAAAGAAAGGGGGAAAAAGTGACAAGAGTGGGGTTCGAACCCACGCCTCCGAAGAGAAGAGAACTTGAGTCTCCCGCCTTAGACCACTCGGCCATCTTGCCCGTGCGTGAAGTTAGAGAAACACCAAAAAAAATTAGGAATTTTATTAATTTTTTTTCCATGCCCCCTCTTACTTTAAAAGAAGAAATGTTTTCTGATCGTTTGAATTGTGAGAAAAAACGTCACCAGCAGGATTCGAACCTGCGCGCGAGATCGCAACTGATTTCGAGTCAGTCCCCGTAACCACTTGGGTATGGTGACCACGGGAGGAAGTAGTAATATTAAACAATTGAATGTTATTTTTTAAAAAAGTTGGGAGGTCACCCGCAAACCCCCGACTCATCCCGGAAAAGCAGCATAAAAAAAAAAAAAAAACAACATAACCTTCCTTTTTGTTTTTCTTTTGCGTGGCTTCCCGCGGGGGAAAAAAAAAAAGAACCGCTCGTGGGGTCGCCGCCAGCCCCACGGAGGGCGTTAACGGAACGGGCCCGTCCCTTCTTCCCTCCTCCTTACTTCAGGGGCCCGGGGGCCCACACCCGCCCCGCCAAGGGCAGAAACGGCGAGAGCAAAAGGGAACCTAAAAAAGAAAAAAAAAAAAGAGAGAAAAAAAAGAAACAAAAGAAAAATATTCCCCTGTTGAGGCGGCGTTGGTTGTCGGGCCCAAACCCCCCACCCTTTTCCCCAGCGAAACGAATGCGAACCACCAAAGCGAACAAACAAAAAGACAAAAAAAAAAGACATCAAAAATAAGAAAAATAATAATAACAATAAGCAGGCGAATGCAACAACAACAACAACAAATAAAAAAATGTACCTTTCCTTTTCCCTGATCTTTTTTTTTTTTTCCTTCTTCTATTTTCTATTGGCCTAGAACGCTACGCCTCTAAGGACGGAGGCCTCAGTGCGGAGGGCTTGGTGCCGTTCTGCCATGTCTTCAACTTTTCCAAGTTCTTTACCAACTATAGTACCAAGAGCTTCTGCTTCCCGTGCCTTTTGTGCCAAAAGTGCGCGAAGCTTTTTGTACTCTACTTCAGCTTGGCAACTTACACGATTTAATCGTGTTGTCAACTCAACTTGTCCATTTTGCAATTGTGCAACATCTGTAGAAATAGTTTCCACATGTTGCTTGACTCGCTGAAGATTTCTTGTTGCCCACTGCCTCGTAGATTCTATTTCTTCTATAACTGCGTCATGCGAACGCGTTTGATCTTCTCCAAAAGATATTATAGCATTTGTAGCGACATCTATTTTTTGTTGTAATGTATTATTTGTTTCTGATAATTTTTCCATATTTTCTTCTAAAGGCTTTAGTCGTGATGACTCATTTGATACAGATGCCTCAAGCGTTTGGATAGTTTTTTCCACATGGTACAATTGTTCACGAAGATTATTATAAGCTTCCTGTTGAGATGTAGTTTTAGTAGAAACTTCCTTTTGCAAAGTTAAAGTTTGCTGTTCAAAATTCTTTCGAAAAGAATTTAAAGCAACTTCAAGATCTAGTTTTATCTGATTTAGTTGCTCTCCATTTTGTTTTCGGAAATTTGTCAAGTCATTAACACTTTCTTGTCGAATTTCATTTACCGTATCTCGCATTCCAGAAGAAAATTTTTCTCTTAAACTATCTAATTCTTCTTGTAGACGTGTTGTAATTTGTTCTTGTCGTTTTAAACGTGCTCGTAATTCTTGTTGTTGACGGCGAAGGTCACCTTCCTTTTCTTCTTGAAGCCCTTGAGCTAATTTGACCAGTTTTGTAAGATTTACCATCTTTTCATCAAAAGCATCAACTCTGACTGAGAGTCCTTCTATACGATCTACAAGTTGTTGTACAGAAAAGGCTCCTCTCAACATGCATTCTACTCTTTGATCGGTAGCATTCTCAACTTCAACAGGTCGTGAAGGTGTTTGAACTGAAGAGGCATCTTTTCTCCTCTGACGCAAGTAAATATCTGTATAATCCATTTCCCTCGTTCAAAAGAAAAAAAAAAATGAAGAGCGCTTTTTTTTTTTTTTGTAAACCCAAGTTATGTATAAAATAACGGGATAAATTAGGAAAAAAAAAAGAAAAGAAAAGAAAAAAGAGCAAGGAGGTGAAAAGTATTTGTCAAAGAAAGAAAAATAAAAAAAAAGAAAAACGGCTTCCATTTTCTTCCCCCTTTCCCAGAGAGACAGAGAAAGAACGAGGGAGAAGGATATCTTCTCCCATTTCTTTTTCAAAAAAAAAAGAAAAAAAATGAGCAAATTTATATACATTAAAAAGATAAAATATCTAGATGAATCTTTCAGAGTCGTCCACAACAAGTTGTACACTTAGTATTTTGGTATTACTTTCCCATTTAGCGTTAGCTTTTCCAGAAATTACCTTTTTGGGTAAAGTAGCCCGCAAGTAATACTTTGAAGAAGACAAATAAAACTCAAATGGATCAACTTCTATAGCAATATCAGAAAATCTTTCTTGCTTCGGCATTACTATTTTTATGAGGATAGCAGTAGAATCAGGTTTATTAAAATCTAAACAGAGGTAAACATCTTCTGCAGTTATATTTTCCTGATGTAAAATAGTATATTCAGGTTCTTCTGCACCTTCCAGTGGTTTTCGTGCAACATCATTACGTGAACTAACTGCTGCAGCAATTTCTTCTTCAGTCCAAATAGCATAACCTTTAGGTATTGAGACTTGTCGTTTTTTAGTTTGTAATTTTTTAGCTTCACGGGTATCTGAAGGAATCGGAAGACCTAACTGTTGATCCACTACCATCGGAGGTAAGGTAACACTAATTGGATTTGCTTCTACGGTATTGGTAACAGAAGAAGAAGGAATTTCTCTGGAATCCGTTTCCTGCAAACTATATCCAATAGTCTGTCCATCTGGACGTTTAAAACCTTTATTTCTGTCTAATAATTCCACAAGGCTCGAAATATCCGTACCGTTCATGACACCCCCAAATGAACCAAGCGATCTTAATTTATTATTATTATTATTATTATTATTATTATTATTATTTTACTTTTCTATTACTTACTTAACTAGTTTAACTATTAAACACAGAGAATAAATAAAAATAATAATTGTAATAAACAGAACAATAATAAGAAGAAATATATGAAAGTTTTATTTTCATCAATGGGGTGAAACCAGAGGGGAGTGGGTATTAGTAGTGGTAGTATTATCACCATCTATACAAACAGCTGATGGAAAAGTATTTCCTTTCAAAACGCATTTAAATAATAAACAGAGACATCATAATCTATGTTCCTCCTCTTTTTTTTTTTCTTTTATAGTTTGCTTCTATTCTCTAAAAGAGGATCGAATACTAATTGATCAAGTACTTTTCTTATTGATGGCCTAAACACAAGAAGTGAGAGATATTGTTTCGTCTGAAAAGCAGTAAGTACAGAGGTACACATACATCCATCTTCAATAGTAGTATTATTCAGTACTTTTCGGTCCATTAAAGTTAATGGAATTTTCCCTAATAAAACCGAATCATCTCGAGACCATAATCGAAGTAGTTTAAGTGAATGTTTATTTAAAAAATGAAGAGGTAAACTATTCTTTGGACGTTCTGCTGTAAGATAGAGATCTCTAACCAAAGACTCATATGCGGCACTAATGTTTACTTGTTGATTTAGAGGATCTTCTAAAGCTTTCTTTGCGTTATAATATTCTAAAAATTGCATTATATTGGATGGCCAACGCAAAACAACTGTTTCATTAGAAGGTTCATCACTTTCTTTAAAATGATTAAAAATTCCAATCATAGCATGAATTTGTTGTGTATCTTCTAACATTTCACGAAGAAGAGGTTCAATCTTTCCAACATATAATTGAATATCTGGAATTCCCACAACACGTGGTAGTTTACCACGTATAAACTCTTGAGGAGTAGGAATAGAAGGTAAACGAAGCATTGATGAAGATACAACGCGTGGTTGTAATGGATTTTTATCTCCTGACTCAAAAGGTATTTGTACAATATACCCACAATGAGGACGAAGCGAATTAATTGGATTAGGTGTTCGAAGATATGTAATAATATCCGCATCTTCTATCTTTAAAGGAGACATTGTTTTTTCAATAAATGTTTTACAACCTGGAGATTCAAATGTAATGGCATATGTTTGTTCCTCTACTGCCCTGCAAGCCGCGAGAACCGCCCCAAGACTATGACCGGTGTAACTCACAAACCACTCTGGTGTTTCCCCTAAAGTTAAACCCAAATAAGAACGTACTTGTTTTGAAAATTGTTGGGCTAAACTAAATTGAATGGTTCGTTCATCAAAATAGGTCCAAACGCCTGTTCGCATACCTAATGCGTTTGTTGTCCCACGTTGAGCAATAATACAATGTCGGAGTTCGTGATTGACATAAGCCACTGCGAAATATCCCTCCTTATCCAAATTTAAATCCTTCGCACTTAAGAAAACAGTCCAAGCTGTGGGGAGTTTGGGTGTATTTGGATGTTCATACACATGCAAGGCGAGATGCGCGTATATACGATGGGAAACAATCGGCAAAGAAGGAATATCTTCAGAAGTGAGAAGAGGTCGTTTTTTTAATACCACATCAGGACCAGTGGTTGGATTTTTGCTTTGAGTGGATCCCATTGATTGATTTAATGAATACTAAAAAGGGGGAAAAAGAAAGAAAGAAAGAAAAAAAAAGAAAGATATCACCAAAAATACTGTTTTCCACTCTCTCTAAATCCAGAATTTCATTTTCACATGAAAAGAGCAAAAAAAAAAAAAAGTTTATATAGATATAAATAAAATACAACCTTAAAAAAATAAATAAATACATATATAGAATAAAATACTGATATCGATAATAATAATAATAAAGAATAGATAAAGAAAGAAAAAAAAAATAGAGATACCAATGTTAAAAAAAAAAAAAACTCAAATATTATTTAATTTCATCAACTTCCGCTTTGAATAACTTTATTCCACTCCTGTTGAGCGAGCGAGGTAAGGGCATCCGAGGCTCGCCAATGTCCCTTCACACGATAGAATGAAGGAACTCTTTCACTTTCATTTACCATTTTTAGTAAATGTGGTTTGGATAAACAATGACGTTGCTTCATAAAAGGCACCAGAGAAATATCCCCACCACCTCCACTACTCAACGGTAATGTAGTAGTCTTATTATTATTATTATTATTATTATTATTATTATTATTATTATTATTAAGATATGTACTATTTCCTTTTAATTGTTCAATCACACTTAAACGTGTACGTATCTTTAACAAAAGTGATGGATGAAGTAAAATAGGATTTGAATCTTTTGTTTCCATATTAAGAAACCTATTAGCTTCATTTACAAGAGATTCGTAATCTTTACTATCTAGTATGGGTTGAGTGGAAGCCCATTTTAATGCAATAACTAACCATTCTGCTTTTATGTGTTCTAACAGAATATGCGTATTAAATTCTCTTTTAAAACTTCTATAATAATTCATAAAACCAGGATGTTCAGATTCTTGTAAAATTCGAAGTAGTAAACCAGCATTTCTTAGAGAAAATCCATAATGAATGAGATCTCCTGTTACATTTGTAAAGTATGCTTCTATTTGTTTGCCAATTTCTTCTTCCCAACAAACACTACGACGACTATATACTAATTCCAAATATAACCATTCTTCTTTTGATAATTTAATAACACCTGATTCCCCAAGGGCATCTAATAATTTCCTAAAATTTTTTGCTCGACACTTTGCAAGAGCTTTCAGAGAAATAAAAATATCATCCGATGAAGGGGGAATAACTTGACGTTCATGAAGAAGAGTTTGTAAACACCAAATGGCTAACTCTTCATTACTTGTATCTCCTGCTAGTTTTGCAATACTTTGAACTACAGAGACGGTAGGAATATAAGATGGAAACTTCTCTCGAATTTGTTTAATCAATATAATACCTTTTTGGCTTTGTATAGAAATATGAAAAAATATAAAACACTGCTGTAAAAGTAAATCATCTAATAATGAATATGTTCCTGAAGTAAGATATGAAATAGCAAGTTCAATATAATGATTGGCAATATCCCATTCTTCACCTTTTACACAAGAACGTATCATACTTACTAAAAACTGTGGAGAGAACCAAATAGATTTCTTATCCTGCATATTATTTTCACAATAAGAAAAGAATTGTTTGTAAACAGCAGCTTCTCCTTTATCTTTTTCATGATATAAAACCAAACGTTTTGTTTTAGACCACCAAGGATCAAATAATAATAATATATTATTACTTGATAGTTTCAATAAATGAAAGGCTTCTAAAGAAATATTACGATATTCTGCGAGAATAGTTTTTCGTTCCTCCGCCTCTACTTCTACTCCATTTATAATAAATACTTCTTTTCTTATATTTTTCCCACGTGGACGAAAATGTTCATATTGAATAAAACACCTAGTACTATGCCAATAAATACGTAAAGCTAACAATATCTCAAAAGAAGATGAACCTTCTGTGAGAGTCGTCTTATCTAAACAAGACAAACACTTTTGTAAATACTCCGGCCTTAATGTTAACGCTGCAGCATTAATCACTACATCACTTAATAGTAATGGAGATAATTTACGACAGCTGAAAAATAATTCCGCACATCGTGTATAATAACCCGCTGCGTGTGCCAAACGACAGGCATCTTTACACAAACGTACTTTACGCGTATCACTACACTGAATAAGATCATCCAATACTTCTTTTAGTTTACTTGACTCTTGTTGAGATCCAGATAGTGAGAAGGATCGAATAGAGGCTTCTAACTGATCCATATCAATTGCCTTCACAACATAATGGCGTAGAGGCGATAAGAAGAATGGTGTTTGAAGTTGATATCGAATAACACTAGACAAGGTGAACATTGAAATGCATGCCAGTACATATATATATATATATATATATAATGTCAATAAGTAAGTTCCAAGTCTTTATTTTTTATTACCCCTTTTTTTTGTTTGTTTTTGTTTGTTTGAAGTGAAAAGGGAAACCCGCAGAGGGGAGGGAAGGAAAGAGAAGATTTAAAAAGAAAGAGATTTCAAAATAAAAAAAAAACTCTATTTTTCTTTTTCTTTCTTCTTTCTTTCCCCCTTTTAATTCTCTATTCTTGCAATCTCCATTAGAAACACTCCAGAAATATTTTCAAAACGCTCAAAATGAATAAAAAAAAAAAGCAGAAACAGAAGGATGAGATGTTTTTTTTTTTTTTTTCTGCTTTTAAGTACCAAACGACAACCAAAAGAAGAAGAACACCAACACAAACACCAAAATAATAATAATAATAATAATAATAATAATAATAATAATAATAATAATAATAATAATAATAATAATAATAATAATAAAAAGGAAACAACGCAAAAATAAATAAAAAAACAGAGTGACAACAACAGAGAAACAAATAAATAAGAACAGTCTGACTCAGGACTCATTTCTTCTTCTTTTGTTTCTATTTGATACTAGAGCATTCAATCGCCTCACCCTGTATCATATACACCACACATGAAGCAATATATATATATATATATATATATAATACGAAACAGAGAAATAAATAAATAAATAAATAAATAAATAAAAAGAAGTAATCACAGTTAAACAACTTCGCTAGGACTCTGTTCCGTGTCCACAAAAGCAGATGACTCCTTCTTCATTACTATTCTATGATAGTTTAGAATAGCACGAATACATTCAGCCTTTTTTAACCGTCGTCCTTCCCCTATTTTTTCCTTAACAAAAACAGAGAGCTCATTCACAGTGTAGTGATTCTGCAGTTCAAAATCCGTTATGCCTGCATCTTGTAATGACCGTCTTTTTTCCCTTAAGATTTCCTTTGGAATCACAGAAGGTCGTTCCCGCATGAACCTATCAATATTATCTGCTGTAAGATATTCTTCCTCACTTTCTTCTTCTTTTTCTTCTTCTTCCTTCCGTCTTTTCTTCATAGTGGATTCAATTGGGGATTCTTTCCCATCCTCGTTTTTGATTTCTTCTTCTTCTTCTATTTCTTCTTCCTCAACATCAATTATTTCATGACATTTTTCATATGCCTCTATAAGCCAATCCAGTAATGTATGTTTCTTTTTATCTCCCTTCTTCTCTTTACTCCCTTCTTCTTCTTTCTCCTCTTCTTCTTCTTTCACTTCCAAAGTGGATGGATAGGGAGGAGGAAAGACCACATCAATAATAAAATCCTCCACTGCATTTGGAAGTTCATCGGCTCTCGCCCGTGCGGAGTCTAACATGTCTGGTTGAACTCCACAGGAAAGCACCATCGCATCATTTTCTCTGGGAGTTCTCTTTTGCATCCAATCATCCAAGGCATCAATTAGAAATTGTTCCGTAATAGTGGTGGAACTACTTAAAAGACCAAAGACTTCTTTAATACGAATTAATGCCCATACTGGAAGTTCATTCTCTACAATATCCAGAAATGAAGTTAAGGAGGAGGGTTTAAGTAAACCTTGACAAAAGGATGAGGAAGCCTCATTGGGATCACCTATAAATTGTAATAAGATTTTTTGTTCCTCCTCCACTAAAAAGAGACGTTTAATATTAGCATGAAGGGAATGTAAACCATGAGTTAAAATCTTATGAATAACACTATCAGGACTAAATGTGCGATTCGCTTCAATGAAAACGCCATCATCGGTAATATCATTCTTTACCGAGAATGTTTGTAAACCAACGATATCCAAAAAGGCTAAGAGTCGAAATAATGGATTCTTCTTCCACTTTTCCGACATTCTTCCCTATATGATCGTATAATAATTATTTTTATTTTTTTTTAATACTCCCCCAGTACCTTATTGTGAGACCCCCTAGAGAAAACAATATTTCATTCAAAATAAAAAAAAAAAATAAAGAAAGAAAAATAAAGGGAGAGAAGTACTGTTTTATTTTTTCTTTTCTTATCTTATCCAAGTAGTCAATTTTTCGGTAAAACATAATAATCCCTCGTTTTTTTTTTATTTGTTTATTCTTCTTTTTGATTTTTTTTTTTTGTATTTTAAATAAATAATAATAATAAAAAAGAAATGGTTACACGCGCACAGAAACTGTATACATTTTTTCTCACCTCACTCTTCCGGTTTACTTACCTTTACAGTGGCTTTCTTCAATACCACAGCAACCACCTGATATCGACCGCCCAGTTTGTGAAGTACCACAATTCTTCTTTTCCGTTTACGAGCAATACGACGACTGTTATCTGTATGAACACCGTGTACATGATAGCGAAATGTCTGTGGCTGTGGAACGAGAACTTCTCCAGTTTCCACATCACGCAGAAGTGCATTATCCTGTGAACAAATAGAGGAAATATCAACAAATACTTTCTCTCCATTTTCCTTATCACCACTGTTATCTGTTGTTAAGAGGGATGTAGTGGTAGAAAAGACTGGAACATCCACTGTACTTCCCGCAATGGTCTCTACAGTGATGCTTGATATTCTACGCCTATCCTCTGTTAAGAGATCCATTGGTTCCTTCTCAGCTGTTTGCAAAGAATGAGGTGAGACTGCGCACACTTCACAGGACATGGTAGTATTAAGTAGAGGGAGTGTTTGCGCTACGAGTCCGAAAGTCTTCTCCACAATATGTGTCTTTCGCTGGCATTCCACACGCTGCGAAATAACCCGTGGAGCCACTTTCAACACAGAGACATCTATATATGGATTATTCATCCTTTAAGCATTCACACCCCACTTTGAACCCAATATATATATATATGTGTGTTTGTGTTTTTATAAAAAGGAAATAAGGGAGAGAACGAAAAAAAAAGTACAATACTTCATATTATAGAGCACCAATAATGAGAGAGGGAGACAACCAGGAGTTAAATAAGTACGGAAAAAACAAAGAAAAACAACAGTTGTATTAATATTAACCTAAAGGTCTGGTAATGACAATAGCAGTAGCATAAATAAAAATATATATATAAATATATACAGTAAGGGAAAAAAAAAGAAACATCAGAATTTCACCAAAACGGTACACTTTCGTAGCGCTCAGCGCCTGCCAAGTGTTTCATACTAAAAAGGGCAGAAAGAAATGCCTTACGCTGCGTTTTTCCCGACACGTAACCAAAGAAATAACTCACTATTCCCCCTACTGTAACTTTGTTTAAATCACGTATTTGTTCTAGCAATTCATCTCCAGCTGTAGACATTGGTATAGCCGCGGTTACTTCACCAAGATCACCGGATTGATTCTCCTGTAAATTTTTTTCCGCATGAAGCATAGCGGAGGTTCCACACAAGGCTGACCAAACACTATCATACCGTTGTTTGGCATTTGGATGATCAGATACTTCAGATACCGCCAACAAAACATGTAAAACCTCACGAAGTTGTAAATACTCACGAGCCACAACAGCTGCTCGTTTTAAACGTTTTTTCATCATTTGACGTTCCGCATTTAATGCTGTGAGATCACCCGATTGTACACTTAATGAAAGTGTAACAAAAAAACGTTTTGATATTGTTTTTCCACTTCCTGCAATTGTACGAAATACTGCCCAACCTTGATCATGTTCATCTTCTACAATGGTAGATCTCAAAAGATCTCGCACACTCTCTTGATCCATCACTTCCGTACACCACATACGTTTCTTAACGGCTTGCAGTGCTAATAAAAGTCCAGTAAGAGCAAAACGTGATTCTTCTCTATTAATAATATCAGAAAACATACGAAGATCTTCAATAACTTCCTCAGAACTGTCCGTTACCCACTGTAATAGACACTTTTGGGAAATAGTCCATCTAGACATCTCAAGAGAAAGTGTTGAACCATCACCATAATCTGTACCAAGATGTTTTTCTCCCCATGATGAGAAAAGTGTGATGGGAAGCGAATTTACAGCCGCATACATGCGCAGTAGGGATTCATTAAATAATGTCTTTCTTAACGTAGGTGGGTGTAGTAAACACACTCTCTCCGCAAAGTGTGTCCACAAGGCAAGATTATCAGGCATAGCAAAGGAATGAAAAAATCGGTTAAGTGTGCCAAGAAGAAGTATCTCCCGCACTGGTAAATATTCTGCTAAAAGTAAAAAGACATCATAGGGAAGATCCTGAAAAGTGGATTGCATGGGACTATCAATAGGAGGCGGTGCAGTACTCAGAAACTGCATTTCGGGCTCTTGCTGTACGGTATACAGCATTCCCTTTCAGAACAGTCCCCACACACAGAGAGAGAGAGAAATAAAGAAGAAAAAGAATAAGAAAGAAAAAATAAAGAATATGGTTTTTTTTTTTTTTTGATTAGGTCAGAAGTTGTTAAACAAGCGAAAAGGAATAAATAATAATAATAAAAAAAACAATAATCTATCTTACTCCATAAGCTATGAGAAGAATCAATCAATTGGTAGTACACTTACAACGTAAAAGATTGTATCCTCCCCTTTTCTTACCATTACAAAACCGCCCATAAGAGAATGAAAATCTGCCCATCACGAAAAGGCAGAATTTGTAATATCCATATTTATTAATTTCCACAATAGAATGTGAACCACACACCCAAGAATCGAATAAAAGATCAAATACCGGGAGATAATACCACTTAGAAAAGGGAAACTCACTGATCTAAACAAATGCCCATTATGTTAGAATCCTTGGAATACCTGAGTGTATTTCTATTAAAGAAAGACGATGAATACAATTCTGTTGATCTCAGACTCCTTCAATGTGCCAAGCGCATGGAAAAGCGCAATAAAAGCACCAGAATAAAAGTCTTTATAAAGATTTATAGACAATGCTCGGGAATAGATTGAGAGAAACCTGGAGTTTCATACTTATTTGATAGAGAGAGAGAGGGCGATATTGATAGATAATAAATACGCACCTGAGTGTATTTTCTATCAAAGAAAGATAATGAATACAATTCTGTTGATCTCAGACTCCTTCAATGTGCCAAACGCATGGAAAAGCGCAATAAAAGCACCAGAATAAAAGTCTTTATAAAGATTTATAGACACATTGCTGAGGAATCAACCATACACAATAGCCTTTTGAAAGTTAACCCTGTTTAAATAAACATTTTTGTATCTTTTCCCTTTTCTACATTGATAAGATGGAAAAAGAAAACAAGGAAAATAAGAATAAAAACAAAGAGAAGACACTTTCATAGTGTTAGTAATAACAGTAAAAGTAGCAGTATCAACATCAACATTAGAACAAGAACGAGAAGGAGGAGAACGATAGCAAGAAAGACTTTGCATATATAAATACTCAAGAGAGGAACAGATTGATAAAAGTTTGTATGCCAATGGGATGAAAAAAGATAATAATAATAATAAACAGAAAAAAAAACCCTTTAGAGTATGGGAATAATATCACAATGGACCAACATACCCAAACAAGGTATTAAAGTAGCCGTGCATGACTAACGTTGCTCACGAATCTCGTAGGTCCAGAAAGACAAACAGTCAATAATGAGAGCAACGAAGAGTCCTGCTTGTGGGGCATTAATAAACTCTTCCCGAGTAATCCTCAATGGTTCTGCTGTTGGGATAAGATCAAATGCCTCTTGTACAACAGTCTCACGTGAGGGGACTTCTAAACCAGCACCCACCAACTTACTATGCGTTTCCCGAAAAAAGTAATTGACATGAACAGGACTAAGAACTCCTTTTCCTTCAATGTCAAGTATATTCCAGAAAAATAAAGGTCGTTGACACTGTGGAAGGAACTCTACTGCGATGACAAAATCTACAAATTTTCGAAAATCAAGCTCAGAGCTTGCCATCATCACATTTGTTTCAAAGAAACGGTCAATGAATAATGATGAAAGAGGACCAATATTTGGTGGGAGTCCATCATCTATTACAGTTGGGAGACCTTTTTTATATCGTTTCATATTTTCTGCATTAAGAGTACCTTTATTACGTGTATCAAGAAGAAGAAACTTTTCATACAAATATGATGTAATAGAAGCACTAAACCAATTACGTGGTTGATCCTCTCGCATAAGTTGCAAACTCACCCATTCATCCATCACTGGACTTTGCAGTAAAGCATCAATACGAATACTACCCCGTGAACCAGGGTCTAATGCCCAAAATATTCGTCTACTTACCGTACAACAATAAAAAGGTAAAATATCTTCTGTAAGATCACGTAGTGCATCAACACGAGGTACTAAATCACGTACATAACTTTCCATTTCATCTTCTGTAAGTCTACCATCATTATTGGTATCCCACATTATTAATTCTGCCTCACATTTAACAAGGGAAACTTGTTTAGCAAATCGTTGGTAAATATGTGCAATTTCAACACCACCTGTTGGAGAACGTGGACATGAAAGGTATAGTTGCAGTGATGGACGTGGTTGCATTACAGATCCAATGTATAAAACATCTCCAAGAGGTGTTGTGTCATCTGGATACTCTTGTTGAGATGAAAAAACAGAAAGTTCTCGCTGTGGTGAGGCTCTAGGTGTTGACTCAAATCTTTGATCATGCCAGGACTTAAACTTGTTCAATATTTCTATGTATTCGCTAATTGTAATAGTCAATCGCGTTCTATCTGCACTTAACAAGGACCACAATTTGGCGTGCATTTCATCTAATTGTTCAATCTCTCTAAATCGCAAATTAAGTTCAAACGCTTTGCTTGTAACTCGCAGGAGTCTTAACGCTTCCTCTGCCGCTGGGTCACGCTTACGTAAATACATGGCAGGTATAAAAGGATTTTTACACTCACTCCACTTTTTTTGTGCGTCTACATTAATACGTGCCATTTCGTTTGCCCACGCAACCTCATCTGCGTTCTTCTGTGTTGACGCATCACCAGCAGCCCTACGAAAGGCATCAATAAGTGACCGTAATTTGGGACTGTTGTTGCCAGCCATTTAGCAACAGAAGGAACTAACAAAGAAAGGGTGCCTTTCACCCTATAAATAGATAGATAGATAGATAGATAGATAGATATATGTATATACATACCAGATAATGAGAGAAAAGAGAAAAAAAAAGAGAGAGAAGATAGAGAAAGCGAATAGGGTGAAATGAAAAGGTACCAATCGTCATATGAGGGGCAAACAACAATAACAACAAAAGAGTGATGTTGGCATGGAATGAACATACAAGGAAATTCAACATCAGCAAGAAAGAGAGACAACCTCAGTTTCACCACAAATATTCCGAGTCACCAACACACACACACACATACACACACACATACACGTCTGTTGGTCTCAGAGCACTACCCGCTTTAGGGAGCTGCTCCTACTCGCATACTCCTTGAGAACGTAATGTGTCTGTTCGGCACAGTTTCTATTTGTTTGCTCTCGAATGAAGAGCACCGTAACAAACACCAAAGGAATAAAAGTCCGCATGTACTCCCGCCTGTATTCATTCTTTGCCTTTTCCCGCTCAACTAGAATGGCATCAAAGCGCTGCTGGGCACTCTGCACCGCCTCCCTGGACGCACTGCAGTACTCCTCGAGATCACGGATGTAGCGATCAATGCAGTCGCCGTAGGAGGAGGTCCCACACACCGGCGCTGCGTGATGGCCCTGCAGTGAAGAGGCGGCCGCACTTTTGGCCTGCACGCCGTCCAGCCCCACAGCAGCAGCAGCAGACGACGACGACGATGATGGTGATGATGATGGGTCTTCCGAGCGAGAGAAAATCCTCCTGCGGAGAAGCGCAAACAACCTTCTCTGCATGAGCTGTACACGCAGACACCTATCTCTACTCTCCAAGCCAAGCAGTGACTTCCCAAACACACCCTACTTCCCTAAGAGAGAGAGAGAGAAACAACAACAACAATGCAGTAAAAAAAAAAAGAAGAGATGAAAGAAAGAGTGAAATATTTAGATATACAAAAACTGGATCAAAAGTTATGGCAAATGTGATTTCCCCGACATTCTCTCTCTCTTTCCGTATCTGCATGTATATAAATCATATATGATATGAATTTGAAAGGTAAACACAGAGGGTCAATGGTTAAAGGATCAGTTTCATTAACGGTAAACATAGCTCATCTTTTCGCTTCAGAAAAATAGATGCGTGTTTGTTTTTTGAGACATCATATTTGTAAACAAGAGAACACCACATTGGGAGAAATAAAGATGTAAATGTCTGTGCATATACATAGATACAGAGCAATAAGAGGAAGCTACAACCAACCACATCCGTATTGATTTTAATAATTCGATTCAAAGGTAAACACAGAGGGTCGATGGTTAAAGGATCAGTTCTATTAACAGTAAACATAGCTCATCTTTTCGCTTCAGAAAAATAGATGCGTGTTTGTTTTTTTGAGACATCATATTTGTAAACAAGAGAACACCACATTGGGAGAAATAAAGATGTAAATGTCTGTGCATATATATATAGATACAGAGCAATAAGAGGAAGCTACAAAAACCAATGACACATCCGTATTGATTTTAATAATTCGATTCAAAGGTAAACACAGAGGGTCGATGGTTAAAGGATCAGTTTTATTAACAGTAAACATAGCTCATCTTTTCGCTTCAGAAAAATAGATGCGTGTTTGTTTTTTGAGACATCATATTTGTAAACAAGAGAACACCACATTGGGAGAAATAAAGATGTAAATGTCTGTGCATATATATATAGATACAGAGCAATAAGAGGAAGCTACGAAAACCAATGACACATCCGTATTGAATTTGATAGTGAGACTAAGGGGAAGTGGTAAGCGAATACGTCCTACACAAGAAAAATCAACCAAAATAAAAATAAAAACAATAAAAAAAAAAAGAGAAATCTTGCAATGGTGAGCATTAATGGGATGAAGACATTGAGCGTGAGGAACGGCTGTTCCCTTTCTTCCTCATTCTTGTTCATATCCCTATTACTCATCCGCAAGTCCTTCTCTCCCTTTTAGATACCGGGTTCAAACCCAGCCCAGAGGTACACTCACACCGACAGTGGATAGAACCTGCACTCCGGTAGAAACATCATCACAGCTCTCGTAAGTGATCTTCTTCCTTTTCTTCACACTGCATGACCAGTGTTGTGGAGAGTTGTGTGATGCGCACCTCCACAGACTCCGTCGACGCACCCACTCGCTTGATGGGTTCACCATCGCACTGCAGGGCGTGGCTTGCAGGTGCAATGATGTGCACATCGTGTCCCTGTGCAATTTTTCTCGCATTCCGCACACCTGTGTGCACACCAGCGGCATGCCAAACACCATAAAGGACACTGATCTCTACCATTCCATCAGCCACACTGGGCCGTGCAAATCGAGCCCGTTCATCTTTCCACAAAACCGCACCACCGGCGTATGTAGTTACATTGGCAACCACAAGTGCCTTGGCGCCGCTGGGAATGGGAACAGAAACACCATCGACTTGTAAATGCATGCGGTGTTTGGGAAGTGGATCGGAGGTGCACATGGTGGTACAACCAAAGCAACCATACCAGATCTTGTTTACAGAGCGTTGTTGACAGAGTTCTGGATGATCATCTCGAAAGGTACTAAATTGGGAAACAATGGCGGCATCAAATCCTATTGAAAAGTAATTTAACATGGCATATCGTTGGACAGGGTTCTCTTCATTCGTGGAATAATTGTTTTGTTGTTCCTCATTCACCATTTTCTCATCACGAGTAAGAGGTGAGGCTGTCTTTTGTATTACCACGGACCATCTGTCCATTTTTACCTTCTTTGAGGCCTGTATGAGACTGAGACGTTTTTTAAACTTTTCCTCTGGTTGTGTTATTGGCTTTACATATCCCCCACCAAACCCGAGTGTACGACTGAGATCATTCCCTGTTCCCATTGGTATTACAGCTGCAAATCCAGAATCATTTGGTATTTTGTTTTCCTTGCGGAGATCATCCATGATATCTAATGCAAGTGATACGGTACCATCACCGCCAGCCACAATAACAATTGCTGGCTTTTGTTGAGTGAGAAACTCCTTTGCTTCTTCTATCGCAGGTCCTCCAGTAGGGAATAGATCAAATACATTCTCTTTACCAAGATTGGCTATCAGCTGTTTGTGTACAAAATCCGCCGCCGCCCGTTCTCCACTATTTGTGTTGATGAGAGCCACGGTTACTCCGTTTGTACTTTTTTCTTCTGGAATGAAATGATCATCCACGAGCATTTTGGGGAGATTTGCAGTTAATGGTTTTTATTTAAAATATAATACCGAATCCGTGTTCTATATTCACTTTTTTTTTTTTTCTAATCTCTTCAAATGAAGAACACCAGAGCACTACTGGAAACAGGAAATAGAAAAAATAAATAAATAAAAACTAAACAATACCTACAAAAAAAAAAGAAAATAAAAAAGAAAAACGTAGAAACATACGAAGTCAGCACAAAAAAAGAAAAAAAAAAACATAAGCACCAAATCATTCATAAAAAAACTCATATATATATGTTTTATAAATAAATTTATCGAGTTAGCAAATTTCTCTTGTACCAGGATTCAATATGATCTAAAAAGGAATTAATTATGATAAGTTTTTTTTTTTCTTCTTCTTCTTCCTAGTTACCATATTGTCTGTGCATAATGATTCTTATCTCATGCTTCCAGTACTTTGATCGGATAGAATCTTTATCAACCAAGTTTCTGGCTAATTGCATTGCCTGCAGTTCCGACTCCAGAAAAAACTTTACACATCCCTCTATTGGTTTCTGAATTAATTGTGCCGTTACAGCAGCAATTCCCTCAATATACGTATTGGAAGGTAATAATTTGTGAATTTGATTCCTTTCTTCTTCTGTGAAATAACAACACCATATTTGTTCTAGCATCACAAAGAGAGAATGATAGATCGCTGCATACACCTGATGAAGATTATCAATAAGAAATTGAGAAAAAGTAGAGTGAAGAATATTTACCGTTTCCTCATCTCGTGCAGCTGTTCTAATGTAAAGTTTATCTACACGAGGAACTACAACTTCTTGTAGCACCAATAACTGTTGCTGAAGCAATGAGAAACTATTTAAATAATCTTCCCAAGAAACATGTTTTTTTAAAGAAAGATAATGAGAAGACAAAGGTTTTGAACCTATAATAGGACCTTCATCATTAAGATAATGATATCCCGTTTCTTCTGATATCGCATTACTTAAAAGAAGACGAAGAGATGTTGCTTGATAAATTACTGTGATGGATCGGGCATGAACAAAGGATGACTCATTGCTTGGATTATAAACACACCACTGTAGGGCAAAGTGTAGTTCCTCTCCACAGAGATAGTGTAATACTTCCTTTAACTCCTGAATAGAAACGGATGAACTCGTTTGCATTAATGTATAAATAAGGTCATGGTTAAAAAGAGAAAACCGATGACACCATGCTGAGTTATTGAGGCAATCACTTTTTATAAGGTTTGCCGTATATAATAATTCCTCATTTAATGCACAAGGTGGTACAGTGGGTGTTAAAGAGAGTTGTTCCCATTCTTCTTTTACGGCAAAATTTTCAAAAAATTTATTAACATTATTACCTGTACTCTTAATAAATCCAAATGGTAGTTGCCTTAATGCTTCCCATGATGGGGGACTAACAAGGAAAGAAAATGCACGAATAAACCACGCTCGATGTAACCAAACGTGATAATTCTTACCATCCATTTCCAATGCCAATCCAGAGATAATTCGTTCATCAATTTGACTGAATTCCATATTATGATGAGTGCGTAAAAACTGACTAAAACTATCCATGGAAGCGAGCACAGTTGAGCATAAGGATGGTTCTATCTGTTTAAGAGTAACTTCCAGCATCTCTCGTCGATGATGCCAGACCTGAAAGTTTTTCTGATACCTTAAATTAAAACACTTCACAGCATTTAATTCCCAACAAACGGCTCGCCAGTTACTGAAAATTCCATTCGTAGATTCCAAGTCTTTACGCGATGGTAACCATTCTGATGCGACAGCATTTACATTCTGAGGAATTTTTTGATTTTTTCTTTCCATATCTGAGATGAGAACATCCAATGTTGAATTCAAAAGGCGATTCGACTGCAGAATAACATCACGACGTTCCTTCCATACTGTATAGTGAGTGGGAATACCATTAAGTACAAAAGCGGTTAATAAAAACCATTCTGGTGAGGAAGGTGAACGAATTCCTGAGAAGGTTGCGCTCATTGTTCGATAAAGACCCATCACTTTATTAGATGATTTTGGCTCAACAGTTGGCTCATCACCTTTGAGTATGGCGATGGAAGGTTCTTCTGTAATATCAACATTCTCCAACAAATCCTGAATAACTCGGACTGCATAGAGAAGTAGTAATCTAGGATCCTCACTATCAGAAGAATCAGATGATGTTGATGAGGATGAGGAAGATGATGGTATCGTACGAAATGAGGATGAGGATGCTGTGGATGGTTCTCTCTCTTTCATTTTAGGTGATGACTGTCTTCTACTACTCTTCAGTTTAGGTCCTGAGATGGGTGACCGTGTAATCCGGATAATGATTGTGTATACAATACTGTCCTTATTCTTATATATTTAATGTTTTTTTTCCTTACTTTATTGGGTAACACCAATAAAGAATAAAAAGAAAGAAAGAGAAGTTTAGATATATATATATGGTAAGCAAACAACAGTTTATCAAAAAAAAAAAAATCATTTTTTTTTTTTTGTCCTTTCAGTAGTTTAATGAATTCTCTTGTGCAGGAACGATAGTAAGGAAAGAGGGACAGGCAATCGATCTCTTCCAACCACTAACTGCTTTTGATTTCCTACTCCCATTAGGGTTTTTTTTTTTCTCTTTCTTTTTTTTTTTCCTTCAAAAATAAAAATGTGCCCCCCTGGCATTTCCCTTGCCTTCATTTAGCGCGAAGTTTATCGCACTACAGTACCGCATTAGATAAGTGTAGGTAATTATATTAAGTAAAATAATGCGTAGGAATCAAGATGATGTTTGAGCGGCATATACAAAACAAAAACAAAAGATTGTGTGTCCCTACATCTGGTCACTTTTTTTTTTTTTTTTTTCTCTCCCCATTGCATTTGCTACACTTCATAAATTTTATTTCTTCCTTATCCATTGTTTACTTTTGTCTTTTACCCATTATAAATGAGGAATATGATGAGAAAGCCTTTTTTTCCTTTTTTTTTTCGATTACCGGTTATTGCGGTATCAATCCCTTTTTTTTTCCTTTTTTTTTCTCATGCATCACACAGATACACCTTTATTTCTTTTCTTCCTATCTCTTCTTGCTATGGCTTTTGTCTCTGCAAATAAACAAACATATATATATATATATATATATACACATATATATGTATATTTATATTGATTTGATCGTATAAGTTTTTCTTTTTTTCGTCATAAATGGTATTGGGAATAATCATCTTGGCTTATTTTCTCTTTTTTCCTTTACCTCATGGATAAAACATAACCTATTCCACTCCCTTCTCTATAAACTTTCCTCTTTCTTCCCCTATATACATACTTGTACTTTCACAAGCACACACACAGACAAATAAGTATATAAAGGGATAGAAACAGGAGAAAAAAAAGAGAAGGAAAGTTTTTTCTTTTCTTATATTTTCACTTTATTGAAATCTATTTTTTTTCTTTTTTTTATTTTCGTTCACTTACGACACTTCACAGAAGTTTGGCAAAGAAGTCGTTACCCTTATCATCTACAACAATAAAGGCTGGGAAGTCCACCACCTCAATGCGCCATACCGCCTCCATTCCCAATTCAGGGTACTCCAAAACCTCCACCTTCTTAATATTGTTCTGAGCAAGAATAGCAGCAGGACCGCCAATACTGCCAAGATAGAAACCACCATACTTCTTGCAAGCCTCAGTGACCACCTTGGAACGGTTTCCTTTTGCCAACGTAATAAAACTTCCACCTGCTGCCATGAATGGTTCAACATAGGAGTCCATACGTCCTGCTGTAGTGGGTCCAAATGAACCAGATGCCATTCCCGCTGGTGTCTTTGCTGGACCAGCATAATACACTGGATGATCCTTCATATATTGTGGAAGTGGTTCATTATTATTAAGACGTTCCATAATCTTTGCGTGTGCAATATCGCGAGCTACAATGACAGTACCACTAAGACTCAGACAAGTAGTGACAGGATGTTGACTGAGTAGTTTTCGAATTTCACTCATTGGTTGATTCAAATCAACTTTCACCACATTGCTTGTAAGAGAGGAAAGTGGAACTTCCGGCAAATACTGGGCCGGATCGGTTACAAGTTGCTCAAGGAATAAACCATCTTTTGTGATCTTTGCAAGAATTTGACGATCTGCACTGCAAGATACAGCAAGAGCAACAGGACAGGATGCACCGTGTCGTGGTAGACGAATAACACGAGCTTGATGAGCAAAATATTTACCACCAAATTGAGCTCCAATACCAGATTTACGGGCAATATCCATTACAATTTCTTCCCACTCAAGATCACGGAAGGCACGACCATATTTGTTACCTGTTGTGGGTAAAGAATCATAGTAGCGACAACTGGCGAGTTTTACTGTTTTCATTGTCATTTCAGCACTTGTACCACCAATCACAAGAGCCATATGATATGGAGGACATGCTGCCGTACCAAGAGTCTTGAGTTTTTCTTCAATAAATGCTCGAAGGGATTTGGGGTTTAAAAGAGCCTTGGTTTGTTGGTAAAGGAAGGCTTTATTTGCGCTACCACCTCCTTTCGCAATAAAGAGGAAGTGGTATTCATTACCTGGTTTTGCCAGTAAATCCATTTGAGCTGGTAAATTATCACCTGTATTTGCTTCCTTAAACATATCAAGTGCAGCAGTTTGACTGTAGCGCAGATATCGTTTAGTGTAACAGTCCCAAATACCCTTAGAGAGGTACTTTTCATCTTCTCCACCCGTCCAACACAATTCTCCACGTTTTCCAAGTACAATAGCCGTTCCTGTATCTTGACAAGCGGGAAGTACACGACCGGCGGCAACGCAGGCATTCTGCAGAAGTGTGTGTGCCACGAAGCGGTCATTATCGCTGGACTCGGGGTCATCGAGAATACGGCGCCATCCGGAGAGATGATCTTTGCGGAAGAAGTGATGAACGTCTGTGAAGGCCTGCCGGGCGAGTACGCTGAGTGCCTCGGGATCGACCTGCAGGACTTTCCGGCCCAGCACCTCCACGGTCTTCACGTAATCGCCTGGGAGTTTGTAGTACTCGGTGGCATCGTGGTGTGGGTCGCTGGGCTGAAAGATGGGCTCGTAGTGGAACTGCAGAGATGCCGACGATGTGTCCTCCATGTCAGGGGCACCGTGGCAGCCATTGGCCATATCACACTTATCACACATACTCATTTTGCTTTTCTTCTTTTTCTTTTTCTTCTTCTTTGGGGGTATGCTTAAACCTTGATTTGATTTCTTTTTTTTTTTTTTT